TCGAAAATTTGTGTGTAAAGTATGCTTGCTTCTTCCAAGCCGGATCCAAAGACCTCTCCCAAAGATGAAAGTAAGATAGCTGAAGCTGAAAAGATTTGAAAATCAAAAGGAAGCCTGTGAATGTGCTTTGATTAATCTGAGAAAGAGTTTGAAGGTTTTCTTCTCCAATATATCTAAGCTCGAGGAACTCAAATAGTTGATTTCTGAGATTTGTTGAAAAGGTGTTTCCAGTTTGGTATAGATGCAAAGAGAGAGAAACAGGTCGGAAGATGACATCTATTTATAACGCAAGAGCTCAGGTTTCATCGCTGCTTAAAAGAGGTATCAAGTTCAGCTTTGATTAATGGTCATGAATTCAACATCAATCGTCTTTCTCTTCTACACGAGTATGCAAATTTTTGAAGGCTTCTCGTATTTTTCTGCTGTGTTAAGAAAGAATTGTATGGAAGTTTTACAGAAGTGGTCTAAGTTCAGAACTGTTTCTAGACTTGTCTTCAGAAAGCGGCTGTCCATGAGACATGTAGTTGTTGCAATGTATGTGAAGGTTTGAGCAGTGCAAAGATAACCAAGGTTGAGTTGTTCAAAATAGATGGACTTTCAGAAACTGGAAATCTCAATGATAAGAAGCCGTTTGGTTCAAGTTTACTGCAAGTAATTCAAGAAGCGGTCTGTAGATTTGTGACTTTCTTGTGCTATAACATAGTTATATATTCATAGTGAGACAGAAATTGTCTGCATGCGTGCCAAATCTTTTGACCAAGGAGAAGGATTCAAAGAGAGTATTAACCCTCAATTTTAGATGGGTTATATTGCGGATGGCCTCATTTGTACAAGAGAAGTTATTGTAGATAACAATTATATGGTTGAATGAGCTAACTGAAGCTTAGTGAAGTTGTGAATATGAGAACAAGCTGCATTTGGAGACAACGACTAGGTGTGTTCAAGTTTGTCTAAATTTGTGACATGATCAGATCTCTTGGATTAATTCTTAAGAAGAACGCTTGCAATGTCAGTTTTGTGGAGCAGATTAGAAGTCATGTCGATGCTTTTGAGCGAACAAATTTCGGTTGTGAGTTTTGGTGAAGGATCTGATTCTCTGGTCAGGATTGGTATAAGGATTTCGTGAGAATAATGATCAAGCCAACTAAGATTATTTGCAGTATGTATCAGCAAGGAAGAACCTATTCAAGAGAAGAACATGTTCACAGAGTTTTATCAACTCAATCAGGGGGAGATACTGGAGGATGCTGGTTATGTATGATTGAGCTGTAAAACTCAGGGGGAGAATGTGATGCAATGGTGTAGGGGGAGTGTCATCCGCCGTGTAGCTGCTCATATGAACGATTTGATTAACGACCATTGCATGTTTGGCTTGAGAATGGATGGATTTTTATTCTGGCCCATCTGTTGACGAAGACGTAAAGAATTAATGGGTGTTGACTTTGGTTGTCAATTAAGCTGGAGAATTTTGCAAAAGAAGAGAAAGGTGAAGATATTAAAGCAAGGAGGATCCTTGATTTGTACTCTGCATAAGATGCTTGATTATGATGATTAGCTCTTTAAATCCATTGACCATGTTGCTGATAAAGACTAAGCTTTCTGGATGGGATTAACAATTTAGAGAGCAAAGATTGGTATCTCCACATCAGACGTGGATCTTCTTGATTTTGAGGTTCTTGTGCAATCAGATTCAGGAGGAGGAAAATCATAGTAAAGCTCAAAAAGGAAGGAAATTCTGATTGCGGAGTATGCTCCAATAGGTATGATTAAGCTGATTCTGCACTTAGTGTTTTAACAGAGTTTTATCAACCAAGCAGAGGGAGATTGTGATAGTTCTTGAACAGAATAGTAGCAAGATGATATATGATTAAGGGAGAGCCTTTACATCATGATTATTGATGAGTATGCGTGCTTGACATGGTGAGCTTGAGTTATAAAACTCAGTTAAGAAGGGAGAGATTGAAAGTGCAGATATTGTCGGAACACTATTGAAGCTGTTGGAACAAGATCGAGATTGAGTCTTTCTAGCGTGAAAGCAAAAAAGGCCACGTGGGTTGTGGGCCATTGTTCAAGTTAAGCCCAATTGCTTGTAGAGACTTGAAGTGTGGCTTAAGTCGTCTAGGGTTTTTGGCACTTGATATAAATACCAAGAGACGGCAACATGAAGACTTGCGCGTCTAGGGTTTATCGAGAGAGGCACACATGTGTGTGACGTTGCCCCATCAACAAGATAGAGAGATCTTTTGATGGTTTTGTTGAGAAGCTATACTCGTCGGAAAAGACAATAGGAGTAGTAGTTTTCGTTCATTGTAATTCTAGAAAAGAGTGGTGGATGCCATATAGCAATTGTAGGTTGCGGCCTTTTCTAGTGAATGGTTTCTGGACTTGGTCCCGGGGATGTAGGTTAACCGAACCCCGTTAACAAATCTCTTGTGTCTCATTTACTTTATGCACATACGAACTCGTTACACTCTCTCATCATACAAACGTATAGATCTAGCACACATATAGTAATTTCAGTTAGAATTAAATATCTTAATTAAAGAGATAATATGTCTATTACACTCATTGATATAATGATATGATGTTGCATGTGGTAAGTGAAAGAGTGGATAATCACATGTAATCGATGGACTTTATGTAGCCTTTTTTTTTTTTTTAGGTAGCCATGTTTTTCCAACGAACTCTGTCGATCTCCGTAAAAAAGAATGTCGGAGGCGATGGCGTTTACTAACCTTGAGCCCTATTTGTACTTCTCTAGCTTGTGCTTTTGTTTATCTCATCCAAATCGAATCATAGACATTTGGGCTCGGCCGCTTCTTATATTCATTGTTCGGCAAAAGCCAAGAACAATACATATTATATTTCATGAACCTTGATTAACACATCATTCACAATCACATACCTATTACGTTAGCCGGCTATGAACCCAAGCAAGGGGCTTGCGGCAATACATATGTTAGTGGCAACTATTTTCCTACAAAAAGCTTAGTTCGGCTGGTGGCAAAAGCTCTCTCGCTAGTTAATATGGTACAGAGTTTGAAACTTTTGTTTTCATTTCCTTGCCTTTTTTTTTTTGTTTTGGCTTGCAGCCTTCACATTCTTAAGGCCGGCTCTGACGACGTTACTCCGTTGTTATCTCTTCGGCTCCCCTTTGGCCTTTTCTGAATCACCAAGCAAAAGTGCATATGTTCTATAGTAATCACAAATCACAAACGAACAAGTGCTGCAAACTATCAGGGAAATCAACACTTTTTTACTTTGCTTTATTCTGTAACTAAAAGTATATCAAAACTAAAAAGAAAATCTCTTAATCTCAATGGACTTAAATGTTTTTGGGCTATAAGCCTTTGCTTATGTGGCTTATGTCATGGGTCGGCCCTTGTTCATAGATGGTAGGGGAAGAGAGCGAAAGTGTATTTTGGAGCAAAGTGGTGAGCCATGGTTAGTGGGCTTAAGATTGTTGTGCTACCATGTGAAGATATCATCTAAATTTAAATCTCATTTTGGATTCAAAGTACCTCAAGAATGTAGGCTCTACGGCCATGTTCTTTTGGAGATCGCAGCGACCACAACCGGCGACGGAAAATTGCTCTCTCTTTCCTCTAATTCAGTCGCTGGTTTTTTTTTTGGACAGAATTCTTCCTCAGATTTTCAGTCGCAGCCTCGCAGGTGTCGCTGTATTTGTTGGCGTTCAATTTAACCGACACTGAGACGCTCAACTCCTTCACCTCTCCCCTTTAAACTGTCGCTAGTTTCAGATCTGAGTTGAAAAACAGTTACTTTTTTAGTCGCCGGTTGTGGTCGCCGGCGATCTCCAAAAGAACATGGCCTACATGTAAATATTTTAAGAGAGGATTGTAACTCACTTAAACCATAAGTCTGAATTTTAAAATATATTGGGGAATGGGGATGTATCACAGATTCACAAATTCAAATTTTAGTTGAGTTTGTGGCACTTTAAGCAGAGAGAATAATTTCACTTCAAATATTGATAGATGTTGGCCAAGTTCGTTGTGTTAAGGAAATGACTTGAACATGCACTATTGCACTGGGCAAAAGCACATCACGATCGCTCAACCTTAACGAAGTTAAATTTGAAACAGTCATAGTAAAACAATAGAGCTAGTATAGTAGCATTTATTTATATTTATTAATTAATTGTGATAGCTGATAAGTACCTACAAATATTTATGTAGATCTTGTTGGGTTAGTAGGTACATATGTACATGCATTCGATCTTACTTTAATTTTGGTGGATTGAATCTCTACATACGTTAATAAATCAGAAAGTTTGAGAAACAATGTATCGAAATTGAATAAATATCATCTTTTTTCTTATTACAACTCACATTTAAGATCTGGTTTTGTTTTTTTACATTTTTTTGACAACTGAGGTGGCAAGTTTTAAAGTTAATAGTTCAAATGAAAAAAAAAAATTGAAAATAGGCTAAAATTTTTAAAATTAAAGAAATAAACCATTCTGTTTATATTTTTTGTGTTAAGAATTCAACTTTAAGTGATTAAGGTTTAATATTTGTGATTAAAGGGTTACACTATTTTAAGATCTTAAAATATAGTTTTAGGTGACAAGAACAATTTAAGTTTTAGAGTTTAGGATTTAAAATTGAATTTTAAGATTTAGATAAATACTATTTTGTTAAGTTGAAATCTGGAATAATTTCTTAATTTTGTATAAAACTTTTGACTATTTTGAAAATATTCCCTTTCTTAGTTTAAGTGAAATATATATATTTGGCATACTATATAAACAAATAGAAATATATAGAAATCACTTTTGGAAAGATATCTACCTTTTATCTTTTCTAAATTACCGAATTCAATGGTTAAGTACAATAGCAAGCCAACTCCATAAATATCTCTCTTTCCATCCTAAAACCCAATTCTCGTACAAAGCAGAAGAAAAAAACTACAAAAATCAAATAAAATGGAGGTCAAAACGTTTTCGCTCCCTTTCCTCCTCATAATCTTCATATCCTCTCACTTTTCCCTCTCAACTTCTAAAAGGATCTTAAACAGTCCATACGTTTTCCCATCGAATGCGAGTTTCTCGAGCCATAATGCGGAAAAGCTTATCAAATCATTCAATTTAATGCCTAAGTATGATGTCAATGTCATCCCAAAAGGTAGTCCCGATGCTCCGAGACTTGTTGAGAGCCAAATTGATTTTCCGGCGACAATTGGTGTCCAAAACGCTTCTGGTGGTCCTTCTGTCCAAGAGTTTGGCCACTACGCCGGCTATTACAGCCTCCCTCATTCAAAATCAGCGAAGTATAACTTTTTAACCGGTTCAATTAGTCATATTCAAAATCTTGATTGACTCTAATAGATTTAGGTTTAGTAGTTAGTAAGACTTGAACGCGTAAACCGATTTGATTTTCTTTGGTACTCTTGTTGATTTGGTTTTTATAGGATGTTCTATTTCTTCTTTGAGTCACGGAGCAACAGTACCGATCCCGTTGTGATCTGGTTAACCGGTGGACCGGGCTGCAGTAGCAGTGTGGCTATGTTTTATGAGAACGGTCCGTTCAAGATCTCAGAGGATCTGTCTCTCTCTTGGAACGATTTTGGTTGGGACAAGGTAACTGGTTTAGTAGAAATAAAGTCTTTCTTGTCACCCAAGAAACATATTTATCTGCAACAGACATAGACAAATTCATTTCTTCTTAACTCTTGTTTTAATAGGTATCGAATCTTATCTACGTGGATCAGCCAATTGGGACCGGTTTCAGTTACACATCTGATGAAAGCGATCTCCGACATGACGAGGCTGGTGTCAGTAATGATCTTTATGATTTTTTACAGGTTTGTTGGTCTTCCAAATTTTGTTATCTGTATTGTTCTTTAAATTGAAGTGACTTGAGTTCTATCTTTGAATTTTGGTAGGCTTTTTTTAAAGAGCATCCAAAATTCGTAAAGAACGATTTCTTTATTACCGGTGAATCTTACGCTGGTCACTACATTCCGGCTTTGGCTTCACGTGTTCACAGTGGAAACAAAAAGAAAGAAGGAATACCAATCAACCTTAAGGTAAGTAACACTGGTTTTGTTTTGGGGGAATTTTAAACCAAATTTTCTTGTTTAATCTCGATTAAATTCAGGGTTTTGCGATTGGTAACGGTTTAACCAACCCGGAGATCCAATATGGTGCTTATGGGGATTATGCACTGCAAATGAAGTTGATTTCAGAGTCTGACCACGAGAGCCTCAAGCAAGATTACGTTGAGTGTCAAAATGTCACCAAAAAATGCAGTAATTTTCAATACAAAGCTCTTCTTCTCTATTTTCGTTAGATACATTGTTCGAGTTAAAATATATAATTTTTTAAGAAACTTATAATTTGTTAATATCAGATCTTGATGGTGGTTTATATTGTGATTCTGCTTTTGATGTTTGCAACAATATCTTCAACATGATAGCGGCAAAAAAGAGAGGCATAAATGTAAGCATAAAAAACCTATAATTGATTGTGTTTTCTCAATAAAATTTCTTTCGTTTACAAGACTTCCTCGGTTGTTTTGAAGTATTATGACATTAGGAAGAAATGTGTGGGAAGCTTGTGTTATGACTTTTCGAAGATGGAAAATTTCTTGAACAAAGAAAACGTACGGAAAGCCTTAGGAGTTGGAGATATCAAATTTGTGTCTTGTAGTAGCACCGTTTATGATGCAATGACAGAGGATTGGATGATTAATCTTGAGGTCAAGATTCCGACTCTTGTCAACGATGGAATCAATCTTCTAATTTATGCTGGAGAATATGATCTCATTTGCAATTGGCTTGGTAAGATTGATTACAATTTTTGGTTACCATAGTTATTTTCTATATATATATATATTTTTTTTATAATGGTTTAGGAATTGAAACGTACGTAGGTCAAAAGCATAGTTTCATTTGTTACTGTTTTGTTAGTGATATGAAAATGGTTTTGTCTAGGTTTAGAGTTTTGAAGGGTTTATATTATGGAGCGGAATAGTTTCACATTTTAGTATTTACTTGTTTATTCTTGTAATCTTGTTCAACTAAGTTTAATTGATTAATTTTATGCAGGAAACTCGAGGTGGGTAGACCAAATGAACTGGTCAGGCCAAAAGGGTTTTGGATCAGCAAAAAACGTACCATTCTTAGTAGATGGTAAAAAAGCCGGGTTACTGAAAAATTATGGTCCTCTCACTTTTCTTAAGGTAAATAAAAAAAAAGACGACGAACTAAACATATTATTAGTGTAATATAATTGAAACTGGACCCTTTTGTTTTTAAGGTTCATGACGCTGGACACATGGTTCCGATGGATCAACCTAAGGCTTCTCTTCAAATGCTTCAGAATTGGATGCAAGGAAAGCTTAGCACTCCGACTGTTCGGGGATTTGGTCAATGATTCTAATGTATAGAACATTTGATTTCAAAATAATATGATATTATAAGCTTTCATCTACAACTAGATATGTCCTTGTAGTTTTGAAACTATTTTCGATGCTTAACCATGATTGGTTGTTTTGGGACTGTTGCCATAACCTTATATTTCTCATCCTTTGAAATTTGTTGCCATAAACCCCAAAACTCTTACTTTTTAACGTCGCAGACTCATATTAAACTATCAAAACAATAACGTCAACCGATTCTTTGAAAAAAATTAATATAAAGTCTAGCTAAAGATGACTCATCTTAGAATGAGCGATTCACTATCAACATCTTTCGGTTTACTTAGACACACATTTGAACATCTTTCCGTTTCCAATTTAGAAATTCATTAACAGCCCCTAACCATACACGAAATATAGTTTTAAGAGAGCTTATATATAATCTAAAGCTCTATAGGTGACTGACTAATGTCATTGCCGCTATATAAGTCATTGTCAAATGAAAAGTTAAATCTAAATTGTCAAAAAGAAGAAGTTAAATATCTAAACTAAATATGCGATGATTTTAGTCATTTTTCATGTTTGTCGAATCATTTGACAAAAAGAAGCGGAACGTTTCATAACACCCTTTTGCCAGTAAACTTGGCCATTTGTGATGTTAGATTAGAAAGAAAAAAAATACATCTACAATATGTTTAATCTATTTTGCATATTTAAACTCACTTCCCTTTTATCATACGTTCTCGCGGTCATCCAACCATATATTTCTGGCTTTACAGCTGAAAACCTAAAATTTTCATGTGTGTCCATGAAAACTTACAAATACAATTCTTTCATCAAAACACATAAGAGTAAAAATTAATAGATTTTGATAAAAATAATTTATGATTTAAAAATTGTAAATCGTTTTTTAAAAAGACAAATAAAACGTTTGGTTGAAATGGAGAAACATGTGTTCATTTGAGAAATAGAAAACAAAGATTCTATGATTTTTCTTGGTTTCTATTTTCATGTTTTTATAATGAATAATATGTATATACAATATATATATATATATATATAATATTTAAATTAAAAAATTAAATTCCGGTTTTTACTACAGTTTAAATTGCAAATATTCGCAAGCAATGATATTAATTGACAATTTGGAAATACACATACTAACACAATTGAACAATAAAAATACTCGAAATAATATAAAATTTTTAGCTAATGCGGAGATTCAATCCTAGTAAGTAAATCACTCATCAACTTAGATAGGAAATGCCAAAAAAAAATAAAAAGAAGACTATGATTTAAATTAACATAAGTTTAAAACAAACAAGACACATATGAATCAAAACAAATCATAAATAGGTTCCTCCTTAACAATCTGCTGATGTTGTAAAGTTTCAATGTCACTTGCTATGTTGTTATTGCCTCCATTTTCCTTTGCAACTCTCTCCTCTGGTTGGATGTTGCGAGATTCCTCATGGATCAGTTGGTTAGTTCTACGTGATCTCTTTTTGTTCCTTGCATTATATCTCTTAAATTTCTCTTCGATGGTCTCATTTTTGTAGTGCATCGATGAAATATGTGCAGCAAACTTTTGTGAGGTATCAAACACACGGTTACATTTGGGACATGTATATGGACCATATTTCTTATATGGTAAGCTATGTGTCCGACCATCGTATTCACCATTTTCTTTAGAATCAAAATCATCAAAAGTTTCTTCAAAATGTTTGGTGGGTCCACAATGTTTCTTCACGGGTTGACGATAAGAAACATATTGGTGAGGATGATGTTTTGGTGAAAAGGAAAACATGTCTAAATTCCTAGGAAATACAGAAGTTTGATGCGGAAAAATGGTATTGAGAGGTGTAGGATTCAAGATCTCGGACTCTTTTTCCACATGTTTGTCAACAAAATTTGGAGGGTAAAGTAGAGAATTGAAGATGTTGGGATTCATGGCACGTTGATATTCATTTTGGGAAGTAATAAGATTATTGGTAGGAACAATAGCAGAATAGCTATTTGTGATAGTTTGAGTGATAGAGATCTGAGAAAGATGAGGGTTATTTGAGATTGGAGTTATGGAAGGCATCCCAAAAGTAGAAACCATGTTTTTTCTCATATGATAAGACATATGTGAATTGCTGAAATCAAAAGAAGATGAAGAAACATGTGAATCTTGATAACAATTAAACGCACGAGAGGAAGAAAACAAACCATGATGGTTCGTATGGTCAGAAGTATTGAACATTGACTGAACTATCTTAGACTCGTGATTCCTAAGGTTGGAACTCATCATTTCGATGGGAGTAAAACCATGAATATTCATAGTATCATCACCATAAGAGTACAAACCGTTTGGAATTGAAGTCATTTTGAAAATCGACAATGTGTGTTTTACATTTTTGACTATGTCGACTTTTTATACTGTGGTACGTACATATTAGTAAAGGAAACATAGAATTTCATAATAATAAAATACATTAAACACGAAGGGAAAAAAATCTAGTCCAAATTTATTATTTTGAATTATAATATATATTTTGATGCATATAATCTTCAATTATTCATTATTACTTTCTAACAAAATAAACTTCTATATATATGGATGATAATATTTTGATAAAGTAAAATAATTTAGATTTCTTTTTATATATGCAATGATCTGGCAAACCTCTTATGTGTCCCATGTTTTTGGACCACTAAATACTTATTGACTCCACTTTTGTTCCACGTTTTAATTTTATGTTTGCATTTCAAAAAAGGTATCAACTTATTTTGCATTTAATCACCAGTTTTAAAATTACTATAATTTCAAAAATTCTTAACTATAGAGGTTTTATTTTCAGATTTTAAGCATCTTTTCATATATATTTTTCTAAAATTGATGTATTTTTCCACCTCTTAGAAAGCATTTGGGATACAGTATAGTATATTTCCATGTAATTGTCTAATGATGTAATTCTAGTGGTCAGAAAATTTGAGAAACATGATGCCTTACACAATATATGTTTTTCTTTTTTATATATATTCTGAAGATAAAATATTTTAAATTGTGTAGGTCGAAGATTTGTTTTTGTTTATGAAGTAAGTTGAGGTTTGTTTTGATGAATTTCTGTTTACAGTATGATTATTAGCTTTAACTTTTTAATAAGATATAACATATAAGATATAATTAATACACCACTATGTCGAGATTTTTTTTCTTCTTCCAATATTTATTTAATATTTACCATCAACTTTGTTTTCAGTGTAATAAGTTTTATATGAAATATATGGAAAATTTGTATATAATATTTAGATAAATTTATTTATTAATAATAGAATATTAGATGTATATATATATTAATTTAATTTTCTAAGTATTAGATATAATGTAATTCATATGATAATTTTAAAAATGGAAAATGAAAAAGATAAAACTAAATTATTTGATTGGGTAAAAATAACAATATTTTTTCTTCTGGGATATATTTTTATTATCGGCTCTCTCTTTAAGCAAAAAGATAATAAAATACTATATTTGATATAATTTAGTTACCTATTCAAAATACAAATTAAACTATATGATTGGGTCAAATTTACTACCCTTTTCATGAAATCTCTTTTAACATAGAAATATAAAGTAAAGATATATACTGCTGGAATAAAATTATTAATGTCTATTTGTAACAGTGGGTATTAGGTAACAAATTTGATAATAGGTTGAAGATATCTGTATACTCTTAACATATAAAATAATATCTATTTAATTTCTTTTAGAAATTGATATGTAGACAATGGTTTAACAGCCTGGAAAAAAATTTCAGTAAATTGTCCACTTTAGTTTGCCAACCGTTGAGGAAAAACAGAGTTATGTACACTTAGAGTCAAACTAGAAAAAGACTCTTGTCTTTTTGGTATTCATCATCCAATCACTCAAAGTTTGACTCGATATAATCTAAATTAATTGTTTAATTTCAATAAAATATAAATCGATTCTCTTTTTGTCAACAAATATATAGTAGTATAAATTATTTACTGCCCCTTTCACGCATATAAGAAATGAGTAGTTATTTTTTTGAATAATTCATATGGATGCAATTGTAATATTGATCAGAAAAAATACCATAATTGCCTGTCTAAGAGGTGACGCATGAGAAATATTCAATGATACTAATAATTTATGCCTTTATGGTGCAAAAATGTTTAAAAGCAATAATGAGTATATTTGTTTCTTTATTAATTGCGTCTGGAACACCAATGAGACAATACTGTTTTCTCTCCATATCGTCATGTGCATTGAACATTACCACTGAAGGCCACTCGAGATTTTGTTCACCACCAAGATTTCTAGATTTTTTTTTTTTTAAAACAAAATGTTAGGGTCGAAATCCACATAATTTATGAAAATCGTAGAATATCAATATCTTTTGCAAAGTTTATAGTAGACAACGACAACGTGGATATAATAGAAAAATGATTTGTTAGCGTGCAATTATACGTTATAATAGCTTTTCTCTGAAGAAAATATTTAAATATCAATGCAAATGACTATGATATACATCAATAAGAAAATCGAATTTTAAATTTTTTAATTAGAAACACATAAGTGAAAATATGATTGCTATCAAAATTTTGGATCGTATGATAGAAAACGATTCCAAAGACATGCTCACTATCTTGACCTTCCATACAGTAACAAGAAAACAGATAGTTACAATCTCTAAAACAAAACTCCACGTTAACCCAAGAATCGGTTAGCTCAGTCAAATGAATAAATTCTAGAACATACTCCTTCTATTTCAATATATATGTAAGATACTTGTAGGTTTTTTTTTTCAATTCATTTGATTCTTCACATTTCTATGGAAAAATTTACACTTTATTTTATTTATTTATTGATGCAATATCGAATTGACAAATTAAGTTTAAAAGCCAAAGATCACTTGCAGTTACGTACCTATTATTGCTTCCAAGTTTCATATCGTCAATATCATTATTACTTTTATTAATCACCAAAATAAAATTTTGATTAAGTATTTCTAAGTAAATAATTAAAAGTATTTTTGACATGATTTTGGTCGACAAGTCTCGACCCATAATTCAGTCTTTGATACACATAATAAAGTTATTTACTTAAGTCGAACTTCAATAGAGAAAACCACAAAGATGGACCGTTAATCATTTGACAAGAAGCGCTTTCCCAATTTTTTTTTTTACAAAACACAAAATTAAATAAATTTTATTAATTTGCTGCCTTTATAGCTATAACATTTCATATATTAAGACATTCAAAATAGAATATTGTTTGTTGAATTTATTTTACATTCTTTTTATATGAATACTTTTTACATTAAAAGAGCACAATATTGAGAAAACTAATTATAAAGGTGGATTTGAACATCTTTTTGTGAGGGTTTCGATTTGATATATTATATATGAGCCTATTATATATCTAATTTACAAAAATTATGGTGGTGATCACAATGGGTTATGATGCATATTATTTTTGATTCACGAGATTAACTTGCATTGTTGTAAAATGTAAAGATTTTTTATTTGGTATAAATCTTAACATTAAACCCAAAGAAAAAAAGTTACCAGTTTGACAAAAAGAAAAAGTTAGCATTTACCGATAATATATATAAGACTAAAAACGTAACTAACACATACATTTAAGTTCCTTTTGTAACACATGTAAATGTAATGTAGCAAATGTAAAGAGTACACCACGAATCAGGAAACTTTTGTTTGGCCATTTGTACCATAATAGTTAATACTTACACATATGTGGAAATGAGTGTGTGACTATTTCTGCGTGAATCAAATACATGTACCTTAAATGATGTAAACAGTAGATCAATCAATTGTACATTTGTACATATATGGGATACATACCCATCGATGGGTCATTAGCTCTGAAGTTGATTAGTCGGTCCAAAAATACACCTGATCATCATGAAATTCATATATATATATATATATATATATATATATATATATTGTGTGTATGTAAAATCAATTAAAGATTTATTCATGCATGCAAGTGTCCATCAAAGTAGTACGAATGAACAATTATGAAGGGTTCTTTTGGCACTTTACTAAATGTAATAATGAAAACAATATTGGCAAGTCAACTCGTGATGATAAAATTTTGGTTAATAGAACTTCACAAAAATGAGTTTTTGTTTTGTTGTCACTTTATAATCAGACAGTTCCATATAGTTCACTGGTCCGTCCAATGCAGTCTCCTCTTCCAACATGTTTTCTTCCTTTTATCCGTGTAATATCATCACCACTTGAGGACTGTTTTTTTTTTTTTTTTCCTTTTTACTTTTGAAATTCATGATGAATACTAAGTAGCTAGTTGATATGCATATTCATGAAAATACATTTGGACGAATGATCAAATCAAGAAACCTGCTGATAATTTTAGTTAATGACTTTTGTTCCGGATTTAAATATTTGCATTTCTCTTGATATTAATGATTCAATTTTGATTGTTTGGACCATGCGTTTGCTGACAACTTCGATTCATTTTGACAACTCTACAACTTTACATCTTAAAAAGAATCAAAATGGAAGACAATCATGCATGTACCATATATACTTTAGCGGCAGCCCTTATATATTTGTTAAATCTCTAAATCACATGTTTAATATTGTTGAATATATATATGAAATACGTACGTAGATGAAAATATTATATTTATTTGACGATAGAAGATTAGGGTGGAGAAAAAAAAATATAAGATCCGATCATTATATCAGAATTCAAACTCTTTCACATTGATTTTAGTCAATTTTGCTATTGAAATCCTCATAAACAATAACCATCTAGAGAGATAAAGAAGGGTTTACCAAAACCAAAACTAACAAAAAAATCAAGAGCGGCCAAATAAACTTTATATTTTGAAAGTCATTTTGTTTTAATGTAATTTCATCAAAACGAAAAGAGAAAATGAATAATTGGAAATCTATTTTTCAAACAAGAAAAATAAATATGCATGCATGTCAATCATGTTGACTTCTCCACACCCATAGCTTTCGAGACAAAATGAAATATAAAATTATTGGTTCCCCAGATAATAAAAAAATAAATAATAATAATTGATAGGGTGTGTCCAAATCTAAGTCTCTTATTAAAAGGACACAAATTCAACCACTCCTCCATAAACACAAAAGGTCCATCCTAAAAAAAAGCTAGTAAGAGATAACCATTTCTCTCTTTTTTTTTCTCTTCTTCAAACTTCAATTCACTAACGAGAGAAATGGGAAGAGCTCCATGTTGCGACAAGACAAAAGTGAAGCGAGGGCCTTGGTCGCCTGAGGAAGACTCTAAACTTAGAGATTACATCGAAAAGTATGGTAATGGTGGAAATTGGATCTCTCTCCCCCTCAAAGCCGGTAAGTTCATAAACATGTTCTTGATTAAACTCAATTTCCTGGATCACCTTTTCGAGCTTCGAAGCCCAAACAAGTGCTTATGCCATTTTGTTGTGGTTTAAGGTTTGAGGAGATGTGGGAAGAGTTGTAGATTGAGGTGGCTAAACTATTTGAGACCAAACATAAAACATGGTGACTTCTCTGAGGAAGAAGACAGGATCATTTTTAGCCTCTTCGCTGCCATTGGAAGCAGGTTCTCTAACTAATTCCTTTTAAAATGATCTTCTTTAATTATATTAGATCCTTACTAAAAATGTAGAAATGATATCAGTTTTTTGTCCACTTGCTTATGAAGGTCCCTTAAATAAATAGGTTAATAGAAAATATTATTCCACTCTCCTTAAACTAATCTTGTAAGAAAATATTTTCTCCTAAATCTATTTTGAATTTATGAGTTATTTGGAACTAATGATCAAAATATTTCTAAACGTGCTTAATTTACTCATAATTTAAGTCAAAACCACGAGCAACATTTATTCATAATTTAGTCAAAACTACGAGTAACTTTAATTCATCAAGAGTGCAATATTTTCTCCAATATTAACTACTAATATACATCAATTGAAATTTGTAGGTGGTCAATAATAGCAGCTCATCTACCGGGAAGAACAGACAACGACATCAAAAACTATTGGAACACAAAGCTAAGGAAGAAACTCTTGTCTTCTTCTTCTTCCTCTCATTCATCATCAGCCATGGCTTCTCCTTATCTAAACCCTAATTCTCAGGATGTGAAAAGACCATTAACCCCATCAACAACAATCCCATCTTCTTCTTACAATCCGTATGCTGAAAACCCTAATCACTACCCAACAAAACCCCTCATCTCCAGCATTAATGGCTTTGAAGCTGATGAAAAACAGATCCTTCCCTATATTAGCCCTAACTATCCTCAAGATCTCTCTCTCTCGGACAGCAACAACAACACCTGGTACGCAAGTGGTTTCTTGCTCAACCACAATTTGTGTGATCACTACAACAATCACACCAGTTTCCCCTCAAACGTCAATGGGAAGAGATCAGAGATTATGATGAAGCAGGAAGAAACAATGATGATGATGATGATGATAGACCAACACATTGACCAGAGGACAAAAGGGTACAATGGGGATTTCACATCAAGGGTATTATAACTACTACACTGGGCATGGGGATTTGAAGCAAATGATTAGTGGAACAGGCACTAATTCTAACATAAACATGGGTTGTTCAGGTTCATCTTCTAGTTCGATAAGCAACCTAGCTGAGAACAAAAGCAGTGGTAGCCTCCTACAACACAAGTGCTTGCCCTATTTCTACTCCTAGTTCTTATAGACTCTCTTATCTTCTTATATAAATATATCTTGGACTGACTGTTAGTAATATCAAAGATTTGATGGGGTAAGGGAGGAGAGAGAGTGACATAGAGAGCGACTATGATCACTTTTATGGGATTTTGTATTTTTGTTTATTATTCTCTCTTTATCGGATTTCTAGTTAAGAAGAGACAATGGGAGATTTAATTTATGGTTGGAGAGTAGATCTTCTTTTTTGTCGAGAAGAGTATATCATATCAGCTTTTAGTTGAAACTTAAAACAAAATATGTGATCTATATACACACACGCCTGGACAAAAAATATATATATACACACTCCCCCACACACATATATAGCATTGTTATTGTTTCTAAAACTAGATAAGACTGTTTACCATTTTATGTATATGCTATAAATAGCAAAGAAAATCATATATATATATATATATATGTGAGTTTTATTGTTAACAACAAAATATGCTAAAGATAAAAACTTGCAAACTGAAATGTTCGATAGATAAATAATTTGTAACGAATGGTCTTTCTATTTTATATCTAATGAGTTCTCTGGCCAGTGTAATATAAAAAAATTCACCAATTATCTAAATATAAATCAAGTCGACCTACAGTTAGTAAGAAATTTTTAGAAAAGAAATTCAAAACAAATTCGTTTAGATTTGCCTATTTGGCCCAAAACAAACAATATCGTATCAATGGAGGAGTTGCTTAGATTCTTGAAATTTGTTGAAACATTATTACTCCTTCTAAGTTATGCAATCACCCTTTAACAAAAAATAAAGTCTTCTAATAAGTAATAACTTAAACATTCTTCAAAAATATATATTCATTGAAGTCAATCTCTAAGTCTCCTACCTAAAAGGATATATACTCATCTACGTTTGTGTTTTTTTTTCTTAGTCGAATGTAAAATTAATTCGAACACAAATAAACGTTTTTACAGCAGGTGTAACTGTGATAACGAGATTTAAAGGAAACTAGACAAGAATTTAATCTAAAATTGTTAATTTTGAAGCAAAGCATCGCTCCATGCCTCAATCATATCTTCCGTCTCCTATAGCTCTTATCAAAGATAAACGGTTCTGATTTTGCTTGTCAATGATTTGAATCAGTCTACGCTCTAATCTTGCAAACTCTCTATAATTTCTTTTGTTTCTTTCTCTCCAAATATGTAGATCGTTGTCTAAAACACATAGCGCACTATCTTGTCTTGTGAATTGTCTACTAGCAACTCGAGAATTCTGTCTCAATCACTAGTCCTGTTTGTATTGTTATCACTCATCTAAAATCTATTATCGAGTTAAATTACTAAAAAGAAAACACATTGAATTCAAACTCCACGAGATAAAGTATTTAGATGGGATAACTTGTAAGAAGTATTTGTTTCCACTAGACTATCTATTCATTATATAAGAGTACAGTAGTACACACTACAATAAATATAGGCGTCTATACAAATATCTGTATTATTTGTTATTGTGTTGTTTGTATTCTCTTTTCGAGCACCGGTCTAAAGTTTTGACAGGCCTAACTAAATTAAATAACGAGCATTATATAAACGAAATAATTTGATTATTACTTTCAGTATTTGTTAGAGTTTATATAGAGAGAGGGAAAGGATTGTATATAAAAGTCATCACCTTTGGTCAGTAACTCGAGCGGCCAGGAGAAATTGATTGATGGAAATACAGTCACTATTCATCTGTTCAAATGACATATATACCCTTGCCAGATGGTTTATCTTTTCCTTCAGCACATATCCTTCGATTACTATTGTTCTCTGTTTTTTCTTTGAAAGAAAATTATTTAAACGAAGAAAAATTAAGGTAGGGACAATAATGTTTTACACGACGGTCTAATAAAACGTTACGTATTAATTAGTTATGTATGAGAAAATAAATACAAATAATCGGATATCTATTACTTGAGATTTTATAAAAAAAGTTAATGCATGTTTAATAGAAAAGACTAGTAGAGATCATATTCATCTAAAAAGAAATCATATTCATCTAAACATTTAAGCGAACGGAAGAGTTGAAATGAAAAAAAAAAAAAAAAAAAATGAAATGGAGGGATGACACTGACACCAAGCTCAAGATCTCTCTCTCCGATGGTTAAAGAACCGTTGCGGTATTAGTGGACCGTTAGTTTGTGGTGATGACACCTTTTCATGGGCCGATATGTTAAGCTTTGTTGGCCCATAAAAGAATTGGGACTTATAAGCCCATAGGCCCTTTGTATGGAAATTGCTCATCTCATTACATTTTCAAATATACTACAGACTAAATCTAATTATACTAAAGACTAAATCAAACATCATCAAAACTGATGAAAGTAAGAACACAAAAGTATTTTTAAAAAGTTTATTATTAGACTTTTATAAACATAATATCACATAATACATCGATATATATAGATAAAGACTAAATCTAATTTTCTAAATTAAGATAAAATTTTTAAATATAATAATATTTTTTTAAATAGAGATAAATTTCTTAGACTAAAATATTAACAAATTTTTAAAATTTTCATATCGAATCTCGATCTCGATTTGTAATTTTGATCGATCTTGATTTAGTTTCGGTCGATTTCGTCGATTTTCTAATACAAACAAGTCTAGAATTGGTTAATTAAAAAGAAAGAAATAGCACTCTAGATTCCGAACGAAAATCAAAAATATTTTTAAAAATTTTCCTACGTAGAAATTAAGGAAAATTACTACACGAGCCGTCGGCCGTTGGTGCTATTGGTTAGCTTTTTTGAGTATAGCTGTATAGAGTATCTTGAAACAGCTCCGAAGAGCCCATAATACTAGAATGCGTGGCTTAATTAAGCTTATCATTAAACTTAGGTGACTGTACCGTGGCGTCAATCATAAAACAAAACCCAAACAACCAAAACCTGGATTCAACTTCTCTTTTTTTTATAATTTATCATAATATTAGAGTGTGGTTTAAGAGTTAATTTGTTTTTTTTGTTGATAATACATTTTTGGGCCTTGTGCGACGTGATGGTATCCTGCTAATCTCCGACATCATTAGATATTTATACGACTGAAGTTATCCACAACTCCACCTACCTATCTATGCAAACATACACGTGATGCATGCTATCCTGCTTATCTCTTCTTTTTATCGTAAGATATTAGAATGTCCCACATTGCTTGGGATTAAAATCTTTGGATAGTATATAAAAGATATAGCAATCTTTAACTCTTGAGCTAGCTTTTGGGTTAAGTTAGGCCACATTCCTAATATGGTATCAGAGCCCAAAGTTGGCCCAACAAGCAAATTCCACAAAAATAGTTTCCCACCTATGTGACCCATATAAGTGGCATGTCTTGTTGTATTTCTGAGATGTTGGGCTTGGGCTGTTTCCCGTTGGACCGTTTCCCACCCACATCTCGAGGAGGCCTATTAGAATGTCTCACATTGCTTGGGATTAAGATCTTTGGGTAGTATATAAAGGATGTGGCAATCCTTAACTCTTGAGCTAGCTTTTGGGTTAAGTTAGGTCATATTCCTAATATAAGATATTTTATTTTTTCAAAAACAAAATCTTTATTATTTCTAATTAAAAACTTTTCAATCTATTCTAATTTCCAAATATCATTTTCAAATATTAAAATATAATAAAATAGATGCTGAGATAACTTTCAAATTTTATATATATTTATATATATACCATGAATATATATACCATTATAACATGTTATCAGGTTTAATTGTGTAATTTTTTTTAATTTTTTTTTTGTACTTTTGACTTTTTCAAGATGCATCACGAATCCAAACGCTAATCTTAATTGCATCCAAAATATCTACTGTATTTTTCTTAACGCAACTTATTTTTAATTGCATTCACTATTCTACTTTGACAAAACGAACAACATCCATGAACTAGCACTAGATGCAAACGTCGTAAGGCAATTATATGAACCTTCTTTACCTACACCTTGTCACTCTCTTAGTCGTTATCATAAATAAAATTTACATTTATAATTAGATAAGAAAATTATATTTGTCCAATATTAATTTTCTTTAATATTTATTTTAACCAGTGACATACTAGGTTATAAATAAAAAATAGTGAATGCAAATATGTAGTAGTACTTTCAGAACAATTTTTTTAATATGTCTTAATTAGTTATGTTCAAAAATATTCAAAAAAAGAAAAAATAAGAAGCAAAAAATGACATGCAAATTAAATGAAATTTGTCGTTCAATTTTCTATGAAGACTGGACTAGTGCATTTTTTAATATATTATTATTGGAATTTTTGTTGATTTATTTTCCTCCTCGTAATTTTAATTTTTTTAAATTTAGAAAGAGAAAAATAGTGTGAGAAAAAGAGGAGAGCCACCTGTGAAATCAATGAAAAATATTAACAGTTGTGGAAAATGGCGCAAACGGAGGAGCAAACGGACTCTTTCATGGACGAATTTTGGTAGGTATTTTCCCAACCCATAGAAATAGGTTTTTTCCAAAGGGTTTTGCAATCTTTTCTCTAAATTTAAAGTTATACCTATTTTTCTGAATTTCTTATACGCAAATCCACAAGCTATCAGATAATTCATCTTATGAAATCGTTTACAGCTGCCACAGAAGTAAACAAAAGCTGATCTACCAGCCATTGGAAAGACCCGAGTCTTAGCTTTCCATAGAGATTGAGGAAGATAATCTCTATAGAGGTTACCATCTGAGAGTTATCGTCGAATTTATACATTCGTCTCTAATTATCGTCCAAATCGTGATCTACCTACCTCGAAAGAATGAAAATAAATTATAACATAGATCTAGTGTGTTATGATTATAGGAAATGTGTATGATCATGACAATAATTTAATTAAAAAATAGTGTTTTGAGGTTATGTTTTTAGTTAATATTTAGACTCTATGCGATAGTTTTTTAGTACGTAATAACTTCTGACCATTCGAGACTAATTTCATCATAGTAAATGATGGAATTGGAGCATGCTGATAGTCACAAAATACTATAATTTTTGAGTAATTATTACGAATATGCGATAAATTTTTAATTATCATTTGTGACCATTTGACTATAATTTTGTAATAATGAGTTACATAATTAAGGCGTTATTTTATGATGATTCTGAGATGATTTTTTAATTTGTAATTAAAATATTTGTGTAATTTTTTGTATCGTAACTATTTTTAACGAAATGGTTATTAGATATATTTGTCGTAACTCTTTTTGTCACAAATAAAAATTTTGTGACAACTGTATTGCAACCATTTCTGACTTATCACAAATTCGAAATAATATTTATATTCTAACAAAATATTTTCTTATTATGAATATATATTATGTTTTAATAATAATTTTTTGTAACATGTGAAAAAGAGAAAAAGAAGAATCGTACCTTTTAGTTTTTTTTTTTCCGATAAAGACATAAAGCATCATCGTGTCAGCAATATATGAAAACGTGAAGAATGTTATGTAGGAATTTTTTTTTTCCGTCCAAAATTAAAGTAAGATATATTAATCAAGAATTAAGAAAGTCATAGAACAATTGTTCTGTAACTTCAGTTATTCAAGAATAAACATTGTCAGAAAAGAAATTACAATAAGCTAGCAAATGAGCTGCTTTGTTACAAATTCTCCTAGTAAAAGTAAATCTTATATCTTGAAATCAGTTTGCCCAGAAAGAATATCTTGCTTGACATAAGCTTGCAATAGATGTGTTATGTCGGACTATTATATCACAAAGAATTACTAGCAAACTTCATTATATAGTCGACTATTTACAAATAATATCCCAAGCCTGTGTTTACTAATTACTAGAAAACTTAACTATAGTAGACTACGTACAAATATCACAGATAATAGCATATGTGATATATGTCACCTACCTGGAGATGCATACCACATGATTTTATGGCCTCTTTTACAGATTAATTACTATAACATTTTCGATGTCAATCATATCGATCAGTTATTTAAAATATTATTTTATTTTTCTAATAATATGCTAGTTTGAATCGGATGTAACAAAAACTATTATGCTAATATTTTTGGTAAAAGAATCTATTATTTTTAATTCCTTTTTCAAAATTTATTATGATTATATTATTGTGTATTAGAAAAAAAATGAGTTAAAAATCGTTGTTATTAAACTTACGATTTGTTTGTTATCTCAAGTTTACAGTTATATATACGTATATGATTTATATAAATATGTATATATCTAAATATTTATGTCTAAATGTATACATATCGAACTATTTAAATAACAATCAACAGAGTAATTAAACAGAACATTTGCGTTGAACGTTTTTTCATAGAACATTAATTAAAATTTTATTTGATGACTAAACGCGCAACGTTATATTCGAAACACTTTCTCGTATTAACCAGCCTTTAGAAAAAAAAAAGCTAATGATAAACTTAATCAAGGCACGTTCCGCTAACTCAAATAATGTCTCGTTTTTTCTAGCATCAAAATGTTTCTATTAATATAAAGTTGGATAAATAAAATATATTCTACCTATAAATAGATAAATTATATTGTACATGTTCTACATCTCAACTCAAAACAATTCCCACACTATCTGTACTCCAAATCAAAATAAAGTCTCTCTTTCTCCTACATACTCCATAGTTATGGCTTCATCACTTCTGACATCTTCCGGTATGATCCATACCACCGGTTCCACCGTGGTTGGCCGGTCAGTGTTACCCTTTCAATCTTCCCTGCACTCTCTTCCCCTCACCCATCTATACAAGAAGCCGGCATATTCCATCTCATGTTGCTCTTCTGTGTCCAAAAATGGTGCAACTAATGCTACTGATCTCAAACACGTTGTGGAACGGTGGCCGGAGTACATACCAAACAAGCTCCCCGACAACAACTATGTGCGTGTCTTCGACACAACGCTCCGTGACGGTGAACAAGCTCCCGGTGGATCCCTTACTCCGCCGCAGAAGCTAGAGATTGCCCGGCAGCTTGCTAAACTCCGAGTAGACATCATGGAAGTCGGTTTTCCGGGATCATCTGAAGAAGAGTTAGAAACCGTTAAAACTATCGCTAAGACCGTGGGGAATGAGGTTTTTCTTTATTTCCTTCACTTAAAATGATAATATACAGATTTTGTGACATGGTAAAATTAGATGTGTAAAGTGTTGATAAGAATTCCACGTATATCAGAAATAATTACTAATACTAGCTAGTATATAAAATATGAGTTAATATACTCATTACTAAATGGTTTGTGTTGGAAACTCATGAATTTTCACAATAGGATTAAAAACACAAATGGAGTAACGGTCCAAAGTTGACAATAATGAACATTAATTTCTATATTGTTATTTTGCTTAGGTGGATGAGGAAACAGGTTACGTCCCCGTAATATGCGCCATCGCACGAAGCAAACATAGAGACATTGAGGCGGCTTGGGAGGCGGTAAAGTACGCGAAGAGGCCAAGGATACTCATATTCACATCTACTAGTGACATTCACATGAAATATAAGTTGAAAAAGACTAAAGAAGAAGTGATTGAGATGGCCGTGAGTAGTATTATGCTCGCTAAAAGCTTGGGCTTCAATGACATCCAACTTGGGTGCGAAGATGGCGGCAGGTCCAAATCTTAAAACCTTTATATATATATATATCTCGATTATCTTTTTTTGCGTTCGTTTGGTTTTACGTTGAGTCTGTATTAACAAACTATTATTTAACATTTTACCATTTTCTTTTTTGATAAACAAGCTTTTGTTTGCGTTGACGTTTGTGTTTATATTTGGCAAGAATAAATTCGATAACAAAATCGTAAAATGTTCTGCTTTTCCAATGAAACGTTTTATAAAACGGTTTTTACATGTAAACATACAACACATAAATTAAACGTCTGAAGCAATCTAGATCATAATAGAAAAAAAATATTTTTAGCTATTACTAGATATATCATATATGTTATGGATTTTGTGGGACTTGTGATATTTAATTATTTGATCATGTCATTTATTGATTTTAAAATACTAGTGTGATTTAGGTCGGACAAGGAGTTCCTATGCAAGATTCTAGGAGAAGCAATAAAAGCGGGTGCTACGGTGGTGAACGTCGCAGACACAGTAGGGATCAACATGCCACATGAGTATGGAGAACTCGTAACCTATCTCAAAGCAAACACTCCTGGAATTGATGATATCGTCTTCAGTGTTCATTGTCACAACGACCTTGGTCTTGCTACCGCCAACTCAATTGCCGTACGGAACTAACTCTCATGTTTTTGTGTGTTGGAGATATTTTTATTTTATCTACTAATATATATTCTCAAATGTGAAAAAAATAGAAACATATTAAACAATGAGTTGACATGATATGTATAGGGTATACGTGCGGGAGCAAGACAAGTGGAAGTAACGATCAACGGAATCGGTGAAAGAAGTGGGAATGCGTCGCTTGAAGAGGTATCATCATCAATTCTTCATCACTCTTATTATCATAATCTAATCACTACCATGATCATCATCATCATCATTATCAACATGACCATTTATGTGGTATATATGTAGGTCGTGATGGCTTTGAAATGTCGAGGAGCATATGTGATCAATGGTGTTTACACAAGAATAGACACACGCCAAATTATGGCTACAAGCAAGATGGTAACATTCTTTATACACATGCCATATATATAATGATGCTAGTTATTATGGCCTTCATTAATTAACAAAAATATATGTAAATTCTTGAGCAGGTTCAAGAGTACACCGGCTTGTATGTTCAACCACATAAGCCCATAGTTGGAGCCAACTGTTTTGTTCATGAGAGCGGCATTCACCAGGTTCCGTATATGCATATATATATATGTGTGTGACATAATAAAAATAAATAGAGATTGATTTGATTAACATGATAATTGTTCCAATATTTTTTAGGATGGAATATTGAAAAATCGGAGTACATATGAGATCTTATCACCAGAAGATATTGGGGTCGTAAAATCTCAAAACTCCGGCCTTGTTCTTGGAAAGCTTAGGTAAATTTTCTATTAAGTGATAAAATTTTTGGTTTACATGACTAAAACTATGAACCATTGCTTTTTTTTTTAAGAACCATTTTTTATTTGTCGAATTTATTCATTTGAACAACAATGGAAATGTGCAGTGGACGTCATGCTGTGAAAGATCGGCTGAACGAGGTATTCTTTGTGATTTCGTAATATCATTAATCTTTGGTTATATAATTATCTTTTTAAAGAAGTATTAATAAATTATATTTTCTTACGTGTTTATTTTTCTATTCTCAGTTGGGATATGAACTCGATGATGAGAAACTGAACGATGTCTTCTCACGATTCAGAGATTTAACCAAGCATAAAAAGGTTTTCAATTTCTATTTTGTAGCTTCTCCTGCACATGCATTATGGACTTATGGTTTAACTATATACATGAGATAAGAATGTAAAATACAAACTGATTTTAAAATTTTAGAAAACAGAATCTCACTCTGATTTTATTTTTTTAATCTCACACTTAATTGATTTCAATTTGTTAAAATTTTCAGAGGATCACGGATGCTGATATGAAGGCATTAGTAACATCTAGCGATGAAATCTCTTTAGAGAAATTAAACGGCGCTAACGGTTTAAAGTCTAACGGCTATGTACCAGTTCCTCAGGTTTCATCAAATATGCTATAAATGTGTAAACACGTACGTTTGTATGCTTTTGTACCATGGTAATATCAAGTTCCATTTGATAATGCCATGTCACTTGTGTTGTTGTAATGAATAAAAACAGTATTAAATAAGACGAACTGCTTTTTCTTGTTTTTTTTTTTTTTTTTTTTGGTGAGCTGCTTTTTCTTGTTCTTAATATATAGATATTTATAAATGCAAAGAATATTAAAAGCTAGTGGTTTGATAATAGTCTCACCATCTATTTTTAGTGTTTTATATAGTATATGAATTTTTTTTTTTACATAAGTATTTCCTCTGTTTCAAATGAGATATTGTTTAAATATTGTTTAATGTATAAGTATTAAAATAAGCGTGTAGAATTTCAATATCAATTTTAGCATATAATTCATACCCTCGCTCCAACTACATAACAAGACTGAAAGTCACCAATTAAAGAGTATCTAGTTTTTTATTTTATTTTATTATTAGTTACTTAGCCACTTACTCATCACTCATGTATTACACAAAATTAAAAAGGGGGAACTATTAAAATAGGCCAAATATTATAGTATAATTATCAAAATAGGCCAAATCTTATTAAATTAAATATGTAGTTTTTTCGAATAAAATGACAAGAAAACTTTGTAAATTTAACTACTAAAAATGTTTTTCTTTTAATACCAATTATTAAAATAAAGAATAACAAAATTAGGATATATCCAAAGAAAATTAGTATTAGAGGTGTTCAATGAATCTCGTGATAGATGATAACCAGAACATGTCATTTTTAGTCCGTACGTTTTTCTTACGATTATAAAAATTACTAGACTCTCACATGTCTAATCTTTGCAGACTCACCTTCCATCATATATGTTCTTTGAATTTTGCTTTATTCTCTGCTTATTTGATTTACTAATGAAAATTTATTTTATTTTTGTCTATCACTAGTTTTGCTTATAGTCTTATAATATTAGTATAAAGCATATAAGCATTTTTCACTGACAATATTGTGACTTAAAATAGTTAGGAACCACAATGGAGAAGACATAATATCCTAGGAAACAAGTGAAATTAGTAGTTTGATGCGAAACTGGTTTTGATGTTTGTCTCAAGGTGGTAGAAGCATATCCCACAATTTGCATACGAAAACTCTATCAAACAAAGTCAATGTAATAACTTTACGAAACTTATTCTATATAACAAGTTTACCATGAAACTTTAACAAACAACTATAATTAAGATCCATATATGAAACAAAATTTATTAGATAACTTTGCAAAATAATTTTACCAAACAACTATACATGAAAATATATATAATTCGACGGAACTAAATCTAGGAGACAACTCTAAATAATAACTTTAGCAAACAACTATTCATTAAGATTTATATAATAACTTACGAAACTAAAGTTACCAAACAACTCTGTAGAATAACTTTTTTTAAAAAACTTTATCAACCAAATATATATTAAAACCTATATAATAACAGTATGAAAGTAAATCAATCAAACAATTCTGCGTAATAATCTTAACAAAAATTTTTACCAAACAATTATACATTAAGATCCACAAAATAACTGGACAAAACTAAATCTACGAGACAAATCCGCACAATATATAACTTTACATGATTACTTTACCAAACAACTATCCACTAAAATACAAAAAATAACTGTGTGAAACTAATCTGCTAAATAACTTTTTCAGAAAACTTTGCCCGAAAACTTTAATAAAATACTACATCTTTACATAACTTTGCAAACGAATTATGCACATAAACATTATGAACTATGCACGTACCTTTTTATTTGTAGAGCTGACAGATCATTTTTCTAAGGAGCTTGATTTGATAATTACTTATAAATAAGAACCTAAGAACATAGTTCATATAGGTTTGAGAAATTAATTTAGAGTTTTATAATTAAAAATTGTCCTAGATTAGTATGTTATGACTTTCAGGTTTTATCAAAATCAATAAAAATTAAAATTTTAACCAAACTCTCACGTAGGTTAGTTAAACTTAAAATAATACCAACGATGAGTTGGCCAGGCCTAGTGGTTAAGTCCCTTCGTTACCGATAATGTAAGGACCTTGGAGGTCACGGGTTCGATTCACGTTGGGAGGGGTCTGCTCTCCAAAAGAGAGTTATATTACATGGTTTGGGCCTCGCCCTGGGGATGTACGGGCCTACGGGCTCAGAACCTCCTAGTTATCAAAAAAAAAAAAAAAACTTAAAACAATGAACTTGGGATTATTTTTTTTTTTTAATGTTAAATATATCATCAAATAAGCATAAAGTTAATTTTGTCTTTCGTTGGTTAATATCTCTAATTTTAGAAGATACGTCCTATATTAATAATTTAAGTTTGTTTTTGGGTTTTTCTGATAATTTTTCCAATTAAAATTGTGGATAGCGATTAGATAAAGTGAACAGTGTTATGCACAAGTAAAATTAAACAAAAGCCACCTACGTACCAACCTGGAGGTGCAAAACAACTCTTCTGCCGAACTGGAGTTGCAAGTATCCACGTGCTCTCTTTGCTCTCTTTTTAATTACATTTTAGATAGATCAGAAATACGACAAAAATATGAAGATCTGGTGTTCTCATCAAATAAATGAATATAATATTCGATATAGCACACAAAAATAGTCATATTTCCGTATGGAAGTATCAATAAATTATCTCAGAAATACGACAAAAATATGAAGATCTGGTGTTCTCATCAAATAAATGAATATAATATTCGATATAGCACACAAAAATAGTTAAATAAGAGTATGGAAGTATCAATAAATTTGATAAGAGTAAAAATACAAAGATGTTTAGAAAAAATGATTATTAGACTTTCATAAGAATAAAAATATAAGCTACATTCTTTTACATAGAGATGTAGTTAAATCTAAATTTTCAAATTTAACTAATATATTTGAAGATAATATTAAATATCCTAAACTTCAATATTAACGTATATCAAAAATCTTCTAAATTTTTCTAGAATCATATCTTCTTGCCATATCTTGATCTTGTCATCTCGACCTCGATCTCGGTCGATATGCGGTTCTCTATCTCCCAATAATCACTCAAAACCACGTCAAAATATGTTTTCGAAAAACTAAAAGAAAAAAAAACTTTCCAAAAACACAACCATTCAAGGCCATGATAGTCTTTTTTTTCTTTTTGACAGCAAGGCCATGATAGTCTTAAGAAACCTTATCAACCATATATCATACATAACTTAGGTCAAAAACTAATATAGATATCTTCTGGAAAATAATTTTTAATTAATATTGTTTGAGTGAAAAATTTTGTCCAAAAAAAAGAAAAAGAGTCTGAGTGAAAACAAAACACAGTAAAACATTTGAGTTTTGTATGCTCTTCATTGTAATCACACTTAGCATTATCAATTGAAAGCAGTCGTTTAAAAAAAAAACACCATCGGATAAAAAAAAAATTTATGGGCTGAAAGTGAATATGAGAACTGTCACTGACAACCAACGGCGGTTAGAATGTTACAAAACGTGTATTAGTCAAACTCCAATTAATTCTCTAGTGATCAAATTGTTTCATAAATTTTTATGATTCACTGTGAATGTGTGAATCATAAAAAAAATATTTTTCATTATTATATGAATAATAAAAAATACAAATAATTTTCTTATAATGATTTGTAATGGAAGATCCAAAACATAATTTTATATGGGGCAAAAAATATAAACTATAATTAGATAATTAAAATTTTATTAAAAAGAGATATAATAGAGAAATCGAACCTAAGAACTTGAGATTAGCATGGGGTATCTTCTACCAATTAAGCTAAAACACATTAATTGCTTCAACTATTTATTAAATTTATAAAATCTAACTCGGTAAACAAATCGTTTAATTCTTTTGGAATGACACATTAATCTTGTACGAGTATAAAATGTACTCCTGGAAGGCAGGCATGGAGATGATTAACTAATTTTCCTTTTGGGAATTCCCACAGACAAATTGAACTTATTGGTCAACTAGTTCCGAAAGGATTTTATCAATTTCGTTCAATTAATTCAGTATATATTTTAATACAGTATATTAAGATGAGTGTTATACCATGTAGGGAAAATGAAAATAATTGTGGCTTTTTTTTTTTTTTTTTTAAATAGTTGAAGCAAACTAATTGTGCTTTTTTGTTCGAAAGAGAAAGATAAGATAACAACGTGTCTATATAAAAATGTTCTTTAGGAAGAAATAATTACTAGAACACCTCACTGTAGACTAGTTGCAAGTCGTTTATTTATTCTTGTTATCAAAAAAAAAAAAGAAGTCAGTTTCCTTAATCTAATTATAGCTAGCTTCTTCAAAGAGATAGCGTACGTGATATCATATGTCAGTGACACCTACCTGGAGGTGCATACCACGTGATTTATATGTCCTAATGTGCATTTAATTTGCGACCAGATTCAAAGTAATAAACAGATTTCCAAAACCCTTTCAAAAAACCGATAGATGTTAGTCGAACGTTCAAAAAACCGTTAGATGTTAGTCGAACGTTCGATATAAATCTAGAAATTAATTAGAAAATCGAATTAAAATCAGAGATTAGTTTTAGCATTGTTTTAATGTTTTAAAAATGTATTAATTTATTATAATTAAATATTTAAATAATATAGTTTTTAAATTTACAATAAACACATAAAATGTATTTTTAAGACGGAATTTTATGTTTTTTTTTTAATTTTAAACATAGGTTATTGTAAAACATCACCAACTAGTTTTAGTGTTGTTTTAATATCTTCAAAATTTATTAATCCATTATAATTATTTTTTTTAAAATAATATTGTTTTCAAAATTGCAGTAAACATATAAAAATGTATTTTTAAGATGAAATGTTATGTTTTTATTAAAATTTTAAACATAAGTTATTGTAAAACATTACCGACTCTCAATCAAAATGTCTAAATAACAAAAAAAAAGTTATTTTATACTTGCAATCTAAAAATAAACAAGATATGCAAGATTAGGCGGGAGTAATCGGATTACGTGGGAAGTAATCGGATTAGGGGGAGAATAATTGGGTGACTAATTTATTTAAGAGACTAGTTATTAATCGAGACGGATATATAGAGTGAGCCTAGCGACTAAATGGAGAATTATCGGAGCTAGGTGGGGATTTTAGAACAAGGCCAATAATATTTCCAAGCCATTTCTTTTCACTTATTAGTTGAATACAAAACCAAAGAATTTAATGAATTAACAACTACAAATTAAAATCAGTTTATATATATAGTATCAAATTGGTAATTATTGAAGAGGTAGAATTGATATTATAATACTCCGATCACTCTTTTTTATATATGATGTTAAAGATTTTGCACAGCAATTAAAGAATTATTTATTTTTGTTATTTGTAAATTAAAACATCTTTTATTTTTACTTAATTATGATTCAACCAATAATAACATAATCTGCATAATAATAAAATCGTCAAAACTAATAAAAAATAATTAATTTTGAATTAAAAATTAAAAATATTTTATTTTTAAAAAAATTACTCTTTGAACATCAAATAAACAAACGGAGAAAATAGTTCAAAAATAAAACCAGTGTACGCAAGGGTGAAAAAAGAGGGAATCGATACATTTTGTCTAAATGTGATTCTTTAACTTGGGATGTTCCCATCCTAAAGTTTCATTCTCTACTAAATTAATAACCTTTTGTCCAATTTTTCAGATTTAAAGTAACAAATTGGTATTATCTACCTATATATATATATAAAGATATCATCTTGTACATGTACTCCACCTCATTGCAAAACAATTTGCCCACTATCTATCCTCCATATCAATATTTTTTTTAAAAATCTCCTACGTATAGTACTCTATAGTAATGGCTTCGTTTCTTCTCACATCTTCCAGTATGATAACCACCACATATCCCTCCATGGTTCTCCGGTCAGGGTTACCCATTGGATCTTCCCTTTCCTCTCTTCGCCTGACCCGTCCATACAACAAGGCGACTTTGTTCACCTCATGTTACTCTTCTGAGTCCAAAAAGGTGGCAAGTAGTGCTGATCTCAAACCTGCCGTGGAACGGAGGCCGGAGTACATACCGAACAAGCTTCCTCACAAGAACTATGTTCGTGTATTAGACACGACGCTCCGTGACGGTGAACAATCTCCCGGTGCAGCACTTACTCCACCGCAGAAGCTAGAGATTGCCCGGCAGCTTGCTAAACTCCGAGTAGACATCATGGAAGTTGGTTTTCCGGTGTCTTCTGAGGAAGAGTTCGAAGCCATTAAAACCATCGCCAAGACCGTGGGGAACGAGGTTATTTCTTTATTTCCCTCAAACTATATATATAGTTATTATTAATCTCACATTAGAAATAAGAAGTAATCTCTTTGACAAAAAAAAAAGAAATAAGAAGTAATCAATACGAGCATTTAAAAGATATGGGTCAAGTTATTCACTACTAAATGATTTTTTTGACTTGGAAGCTCATGAATGCTTACAGAAAATTACATAACACAAATTTAGTAGTTGTCCAAAATTGACAGGAACGAAAATAAACTACTATATTGCTGTTTTGCTTAGGTGGATGAGGAAACAGGTTACGTCCCTGTGATATGCGGCATTGCCCGATGCAAAAATAGAGATATTGAGGCGGCTTGGGAGGCACTGAAGTATGCGAAGAGGCCGAGGGTAATACTATTCACATCTACTAGTGACATTCACATGAAATATAAGTTGAAAAAGACTAAAGAAGAAGTGATTGAGATGGCCGTGAACAGTGTTAAGTACGCTAAAAGCTTGGGCTTCAAAGACATCCAATTTGGGTGCGAAGATGGCGGCAGGTCAATATCTTGAAACTTAGTATATATCGATTTTTCTTTTTTTACGGCCATTTGGTTTTACGTTACAAAATCTTCATTAGTAATCTTACATTTATTTATATTTAGGTACGTTTATCTTTTACAAGAATATTTTTTAAAAAATTGAAAGTGTTTTGATTTTCAAATGTAATTTTTGTTTTTGAAAACAATATTTACATGCAAACACAAAAGCATGAAAATCTAGATTATAATCTAAAACGCTTTTAGCTGTTGACTTATGAAATTGAAAAATTTGTTTTTGAAAGTGGTTTTCTATGTAAAGCATGAGAAGTGAAAAATACAAGGGTATAGGATTTTATAATATATGTGAATCAGGACGGACAAGGATTTTATATGTAAGATTCTAGGAGAATCGATAAAAGCGGGTGCAACCACGGTGGGCTTTGCGGACACGGTCGGGATCAACATGCCGCCAGAATTCGGAGAACTCGTGGCCTATGTCATAGAAAACACTCCTGGGGCTGATGATATTGTCTTCGCCATTCATTGTCACAACGACCTTGGTGTTGCTACTGCCAACACAATATCCGTACATAACTACTCTCCCTTTTTCTGTGTTAGATTAATCAACAAAACTAATAGCCGTCAAAATTTTCTATGATCGAGGTGACAGAATTATAAAGACAGAGTTTACGTGATATGTGTAGGGTATATGTGCGGGAGCAAGACAAGTCGAAGTAACGATCAACGGAATTGGTGAAAGAAGTGGGAATGCGCCGCTTGAAGAGGTATGATCGTCGTGACAGGGTGAAGTAAAGCAAAAATTGTTTTTAACAAATTGGCCTTAAAATTTTCTACTAATTTTCTAATTAATTAAAAGACTAAATAAAAGTGGTCGCGAAAAGAGAAAATGGAATCACATGCCACACGTAACCCCTAAATTGCGTATTTAAATTGTGGACTCAGACGTGCATGTTTGATGTGCTTTATGGAATCGGTTCTGTGATTGTATATATGTAGGTCGTGATGGCTTTGAAATGTCGAGGAGAATATCTTATGGATGGTGTTTACACGAAAATAGACTCACGCCAAATTATGGCTACTAGCAAGATGGTAACTTTATATATATATATATAGATTGAAACTTATATATTTATCTAATAAATAATGATGCTAATATTTTGGCCTTTATAATAATTGACTAGAAATCTGTAAATTCTTGCGCAGGTTCAAGAGCATACCGGCATGTATGTTCAACCACATAAGCCAATAGTTGGAGACAACTGTTTTGTTCATGAGAGCGGCATTCACCAGGTTCCACATATTTAATATTTATGTGTATATATAACATATGAAAATTATATATGAGATTGTTTTGTTGTATGTGTATATATATATGGCTAATGTTCAAACATTTTGCAGGATGGAATATTGAAAAATCGAAGTACATATGAGATTTTATCACCAGAAGATGTTGGGATCGTAAAATCTGAAAATTCTGGCATTGTTCTTGGAAAGCTTAGGTAATTATTCTATTAACTGATGTTTCTTGGTTTTAGATAACTAAAAGTATAAAACTATGTACCATTGTTTGATAAATTTATTTCAACAACAATGAAAATATGCAGTGGACGTCATGCTGTAAAAGACCGGCTTAAAGAGGTACCACGCACACACTATTTCTGATTTCGTAGTATTTTTAGTCTTTACTTATATAATAATCTCACATTATGTGACCATTGCACGATATGAGACTTTTTAGCGATAAATATTTGATTAATCGTATGTTTTCTTTTCGTATTCTCAGTTGGGATATGAAATCAGTGATGAGAAATTCAACGACATCTTTTCACGATACAGAGAATTAACCAAGGAGAAAAAGGTTTTCATATTATATTTTGTATCTTCTCATGTACAAATGCGTTAGCTTTGAAATATTTAGTTATATATGATGTAGGAACATAAAATACGAATAGCTGATTTTAATTTGTTAAATTCCACAGAGAATCACGGACGATGATCTGAAAGCATTAGTGGTGAACGGTGATGAAATCTCATCAGATAAATTAAACAGTAAAGGAATTAACAACCTTATGTCAAGCCCTCAGATTTCCGCTGTTGTATAAGTTTGTGAAGACATTTGTGTAATTATGTACTACGATGCCTTTTGTTTTACCGGTGTGTATTTGTGTACTACGTACGTACGATGATATTAAGTACCTTTTAGTTTTATGTTAAATCAAGTTTCATTTGATTTTGAATGTCTTGTTGTTGTAATGAATAAAAACAATAATATTGGGAGTGTTTTTATTCTATACGTTTACTTACTTCTCCCACATTATCATATCTTTCTCTATATATTTAGCTAATTTACTGATTTTCACCTTTTTCTTATTTTAGGAAAAAAACAAACATAAAAGATTCAATTGAAAATTCAACAAAGTATTGTTCAATTTCAGTTGTGATCATTATTCTTCCTCCACTACGACAATAATTTGTGTTCCCGTCATGATAACTACTATAATATAATTGACTGTTAACTAAGTATTAAGATTTCGATCATTTACTGTTAAAATTTTAAAACATGATTTGCCTATCATATTAAGAGTCGTTTTTTTTTTGGGGTGGTTGATAGATAGCCATATTATCGTTTTCTGTATGTGGGACATGTTACTTTACTCTAAATGGGAAATTATTTGAGTTTCTCTTTCAACTATTTGTGGAATAAGATTCCTTTAATTAGCAACCTTTGTAGACTATTGGCTTCTTCCTGTCTCCATATTTGGACAAACTTTTGATTCCACTACCGAGCCAAAGAGTATTCTTCCCCTTTGATTCCACTTGTGATTACGTTCTACTTTAGAGTAGATTGACGGTCTAACTGAGTGTCCAGCATAACCGGTAGTTGTCATTTATGCTTTTCTTCTTTTTCTTTTTGTGGTTTTACCACTGAGATTTTTTTTTTTGTTGTCTATCTGAAAGAGTTTAATTTGGCATGAAATTATCGTTGGATATTTAGAAAGAAGCCCACACGGCTGTGGTCTAGTGATTAGGGAGAATTAGGGAAATGTTGGAAGGAACTAACCCAGGTTCGATCCATCCTGGAAACAAAAATCACATTTGTGTGGGAAGTCTGGGTTTGGGCTTTAGCCCAAGCAATTCACATGGTATCCGGGATTAGGCTAACTGGATACCTCCGGGCATTAGTCGGAAAGCATTCTCTAGACTTTGGCATAAACGTAAACCATTAAAACAAATAATTATGGCATATACCATCAATAATTTATTTTCCTTAAAATAATGATTAAAATACTTTTAGTTTCTTTCCAAATTACTTTTTGAAATATAGATGAAAATTAATCTGTGTAAAATAAACATGTTATTAGGTTTAAATTGTGTAAATTTTTATTTTGTATGTATTTTTGACTTTTTTCAATTACAGATGCATCGCGAATCCGAACTCTAATTTGAATTGCATCCAAAATATCTACTGTATTTTTCTTAACGCAATTTATTGTGCATAGATTAACATCTGAATTCACTATTCTACTTTGACAAAACGAACAACATCCATGAGCTAGCATCTAGATGTAGACGTCGTAAGGCAATTATCATAAATAACATTTACATTTGTAATTAGATAAGAAAAATATATTTGTTCAATATTAATTTTCTTTAATATTTAATATAACCAGTGGCGTACTAGGCTATAAATAAAAACTAGTGAATGCAAATATGTCGTAGTAGTTCCTTACCAAAAAAATATATTTATATGTAGTAGTAGTTTCAGAAAAAAAATTTATTCACTTAATTATGTTCTGAATATATATATATATATATATTTTAAGCAAAAACTGATGCAAATTAAATGAATTTTATCGTTCGATTTTCTATGAAGAATGGACTGGTGTATTGTTTAATATATTATTATCTGTATCGTTCAAATTTTATCGGATGTCCCCGAAGTCACCAACATCTGCTTCTAAGCTTTTAAAATTGATTGATAAGAATATGAGAAACCGGTTAAGTACCTTTGTATTGACGGGTTCATCCGTTTTCGAAGGTGGGCTACGATATTAGTTTAGTACCCATAATCGCAATTGATCCTTTCATGTTGTAATCTCTTTCTAAAATGTTTTCAAATTTTTGGATTTATGTTGCATTTATTTTCCTCATAATTTAGTATTTCTAGATTTAGAAAGAGAAAAACAGTGTGAGAAAAAGAGGATAATGAGCCACTAGTGAAATCAATGACAGATCTTAATAGTAACTCTTTCATGGACTGATTGCTCGAGTAATTACCCGATACATTTAACCGCAAGGTAGTATATACGGGGTCGATCCACAAGAACCAATGGTACACTAAAGATTTCCGAGACTCGTTCTTAGCTAAAGCGAAAAGTTGTTTTGTTTGGGTTTTCAGAATTGTAAATAAAAATGCAATTAAAATAGACGATTAAACTTATGAATTAAAGACATTGGGCAATAGGGTATTTCAAAAGACAATGACTAGCGGGATAAACGAAACGAGAAATTCATAAATGAAGAACCATTCTCAACTATAACCACAATTCTAGACTAACTCTCCTTCAAGACATTAGCCACTAAATTCGATTACTCAACTACTAAACTTTCGTTTGTAGTTTCCTAATCAAATTTGCATTAACGAGTTGGTTCATTTCGTTCACAATGCGTTTTAACGTCAACTTTCGTTGGTTAGAAACACATTGCTCAATTTATATTCATTTAAGTATTCTATCGAACACTTTTGATGCATAGAAAAACCTAGAATCTACAACAGGGTGATCAATCCTATTCTAACATTAAGAACATGTAAATCGAAGAATCTAATGATAGAGAATTCCCTATGACAATCTATTCACTAATCCATTGACTTTCTACTTAGAACCCTAAAACCCAATTAAGAGACTACTCACACATATTGAAAAGTGTAACACCCCGGTTTCAGGAATATGGTGGTGCATGCGGAGAGGTTTAACAGAATTGATTTGGCCACCTATATCACCAAAGTGCACTTATCTTTTCGGTCAACTGTCCTGAGAGAACTCCACAGTTAAGCGTGCTTGGGCTGGAGTAGTTTCAGGATGGGTGACCTTCCGGGAAGTGATTGTCGGAACAGTGTGAGTGAGGACAAAACACAGGGAAAGATCATGTGGTGATTTGTAGGGTCGGTAAACAAGTCTTTAAAGCCTCCCGGACGTAGCGGACCGGCCGTCGGACAGGGGTGGGCCCATGGGCCCGAGAGTGGACATGGGGCCCACTAGTAGGGACGGTTGGGGCGTTACAAAAAGAACAACACAAAAAGATGTAGAAGAAAACATGATGGAATTGATAAATAAAGAAAAGGGGTTTAGAAATCTTCTCCAAAGTGTCAAAGAGGATGAATCTCTAGAATCCCCAAAAAGCTTACAAAGAGAAGTCTCAAAAGTTGGAGAGAAAAAAATATCAATAGAAAATTAGGTCTCTCGGGTTTTTATACCCAAACACAAAAAAGAAAGACAAAACCCGGTTAAGAAAAACTGTCTCGGGACGTCGAGGCTCGGATCGATCGATCCCATTGGTGGATCGATCGATCCACAAGCTCCTGCAATGATGGTCGTGGTCGTCAAGGCTGGATCGATCGATCTCGAAGCTCCTGGTGTCAAGCTCTGCACCTACTTCAAATGCTCGCCAGAATGACCTGTCTTCACTAATTCGGGTATATCTCTTGAATGTACCGTTAGATTGCCTTCAAATCACTTGGAAACTCAAGCTAACATCTTCATCTAGCGTGTGTAGAAAATTCAGAAAGAGCTAACGGTGGGAAGTATTCCATCTGAGACCAAACGTCTGACACTTCTAAACGAAACTGCATCTCCAAAAGTATGTTTATAACCCAAAACAGCTCGTTTCCTCCAAAGCAACCTAAAACGTGTAGAGACTTGATAAAAGACTAAAAGACTCTAAAAACATACTTTGACTCTATAAAACATATGATGTAGGAAAGAAAACAGAGACTCAAAACCGATAAAAACACAATATATCATAGACGAATGAGTATTTTCCCAACCCATGGATATAGGTTTTTTTAGGGTTTTACAATCTTTTCTCTAAATTTAAAGTTATACTTATACATGTTTTCCTAACTTTTGATGTGCAAATCTGCGAGCTATCAGATAAATCATTTAAAAAAGTCGTTTCGAGTCGCTATAGAAGGAACGAGAAGTTGATCTACTAGCCATTGGAAAGACTTGAGTCTTAGCTTTCTAGAAAGATTGAGATAATCTCTATAGGGGTTACCATATGAGAGTTATCGTCGAATCCATACATTGGACTCTATGGAGGTTATGTTTTTACTTTTTAGTTGATAATTGGACTCTATGTGATGGTTTTTTAGTAATAAATTCTGACCATTTGAAACTAATTTCATCATAGTGAATAATGGAATTAGGGCATTATGATAGTCACAAAATACCATAATTTTTGAGTAATTGTTACGAATATAAGACAAATTTTTAGTTATCATTTGTGACTATTTGAAACTATAGTTTTGTAATAATAAATCACGGAATTAAGGCGTTATTTTAGTTATGATGATTTTGAGAGGATTGTTTTAGTCTGATTGAGATAATTTTGTTACTTTTTTGTATCGTAATTATTTGTGACGAAATGGTTACTAGATATATTTGTCGCAACTCTTATGCCGTTTTTGTCATAAATAAAATTCTGTGACGATTATATTGAAACCATTTCTAAGTTATAATCACAAATTTGTAACAATATTAATATTGTAATAAAATATTTTTTTATTATGTTTTAATAATATTTTTTCTTTGTAACATGTGAAGAAAGGAGAAAAAGAAGAATTACACCTTTTTGTTCTACCTACGCAGACACATAATGCATCATTTTAGTTTTTTTTTTTTTTCCGATAAAGACATAATGCATCATCGTGTCACCAATACATGAAAACGTGAAAAATGTTATGTCGCACTATTTTTATTTTTATTTTTCGTCGAAAGTAATATATATTAATCAAGAATTAAGAAAGTCAATTGTTCTGTAACTTCAGTTATTCAAGAAGGAGAATAAACATTGTCAGATAAGAAATTACAATAAATACAATCAAATTTAGCTAGCAAATGAGCTGCTTTGTTACAAATTCTCCTAGTAAAAGTAAAGCTTATATCTTGAAATTAGTTTGCCCAAAAGAATATCTTGCTTGACATAAGCTTGCAATAGATGTGTTATGTCGGACTATTATATCACAAAGAATTACTAGAAAATTCATTGTATAGTCGACTACTAATTACAAATAATATTACAATTTACAAGCCTGTGTTTACTAATTACTAGAAAACTTAACTATAGTAGGCTACGTACAAATATCACAGATAATAGCATATGTGATATTGTCACCTACCTGGAGATGCATACCACATGATTTTATGGCCTCTTTTACAGATTAATTACTATAACATTTTCGATGTCAATCATATCGATCAGTTATTTAAAATATTATTTTATTTTTCTAATAATATGCTAGTTTGAATCGGATGTAACAAAAACTATTATGCTAAAATTTTTGGTAAAAGAATCTATTATTTTTAATTCCTTTTTCAAAATTTATTATGATTATATTATTGTGTATTAGAAAAAAAATGAGTTAAAAAATCGTTGTAATTAAACTTACGATTTGTTTGTTATCTGAAGCTTACAGTTATATATATGTATATGATTTGTATAAATATGTATATAGCTAAATATTAATGTCTAAATGTACAGTAAAACCTCTAAAAATTAATAATGTCGGGACCATAATATTTTATTAATTTATAATGATATTAATTTATCTATAAATTAATACTTATTAATTTATAACGTAAATTAATATTTATTAATTTATAAAAAGTTTTGTTTCAATTATGAAATTTTTTTAAAAAAATTATGAGATAAAGCAATGTGATCTAAATAAATTAATGTTTTGGATGTTATAAATTTTATAGTTTTAGCTTTCAACACTTATATTTCGAAGAGAAAATAATTTATTTTGACAATGAATAACAACGATTATAGAATTCACATATACAAATGATATACATAAATTAAAATTCACAAATAGTGACATTCATTGTTGTATTCACTATACGGCTATTAAAACAAAAGTTATGCATATTAAAATTTGAAAACTTACAAAAACTTTTGGCTATTTTTGTGATGAACACTAAAACTATATATATATATATATATATATATATATATATATATATATATATATGTGCAAGTTTACATGATTATTAATTTATGATATTATTGGGACTATATTTTTACATAGAGATTTCAAAAAACTTATTATCTTATTATCATATCGAATTTGGTTAATTTTTACACTGGCCCGACTCGGGACCGGCTAAATTTATTAATTTATCGTGTTTATTAATTTATCGAGTATTAATTTATAGAGGTTCTACTGTATACATATGGAACTATTTAAATAAGATATCAATCACAGAGTAAACAGAAGTTACCATTTGCGTTGAGCGTTTTCATAGAACATTAAAATTTTATTTGATTACCAAACGCGAAAACGTTATACATATTCGAAACACTTTCTCGTATTAACCAGCCTTTAGAAAAAAAAAACTAATGATAAACTTGATCAAGGCACGTTCCGCTAACTCAAATGTTTCCTTTTTTTAACATCAAAATGTTTCTATTAATATAAACTTCGATAAATAAAATATATTCTACCTATAAATAGATAAATTATATTGTACATGTTCTACATATCAACTCAAAACAATTATCACACTATCTGTACTCCAAATCAAAATAAAGTCTTTCTTTCTCCTACATACTCCATAGTTATGGCTTCATCACTTCTGACATCTTCCGGTATGATCCATACCACCGGTTCCACCGTGGTTGGCCGGTCAGTGTTACCCTTTCAATATTCCCTGCACTCTCTTCCCCTCACACGCATCTATACAAGAAGCCGGCATATTTCATCTCATGTTGCTCTTCTGTGTCCAAAATGGTGGTAACTAGTGCTACTGATCTCAAACCTATCGTGGAACGGTGGCCGGAGTACAAACCAAATAAGCTCCCCGACAAGAACTATGTACGTGTACTCGACACGACACTTCGTGAGGGCGAACAAGCTCCAGGTGGATCCCTTACTCCGCCGCAGAAGCTAGAGATTGCCCGGCAACTCGCTAAACTCCGAGTAGACATCATGGAAGTCGGTTTTCCAGGGTCATCTGAAGAAGAATTTGAAACCGTAAAAACTATCGCTAAGACCGTGGGGAATGAGGTTGTTTCTTTATTTCCTTCACTTAAAATGATAATATACAGATTTTTTGTTCAAACTATATAGTACCTTATTCCTTTGTGACATCTAATAAAACTTGATATTCAAGGTGTTAGTGATCCTCCATTTGATCGTGAGAAATGAAAAACACTAGCGTATAAAAAATATTGAGCAATCAACTCATTTCAATGACTGCTCACACAAAGATTACAAACATATAATGGAGTAATTGTAAAGAAATTGCAATAAAGAAAAACACTTATTAAACAATTATATTGGTGGTGTTTCTTAGGTGGATGTGGAAACAGGTTATGTCCCGGTGATATCCACCCTCGCACGATGCATAAATAGAGACATTGAGGCCGCTTGGAAGGCGGTGAAGTACGCGAAGAGGCCAAGGATATGCATATTTACATCTACTAGTGACATTCACATGAATTATAAGTTGAAAAAGACTAAAGAAGAAGTGATCGAGATGTCCTTGAGTAGTATTAGGTTCGCTAAAAGCTTAGGCTTCCATGACATCCAATTTGGTTGCGAAGACGGCTGCAGGTCCATCTTTTTTTTTTTTTTTTTTTAATTGTTTTTAATTTACGTTACAAAATCTGGGTTAGTAATCTTACACGTTACCATTTTCATTTATGTTTTATCTTTAAACAAAAATTTCTTTTCAAAATAACATTTTACATGCAACACACAAACACATAACTGAACGTCTAAAACAACCCAGATCATCATCTAAACACTTTTAGCCGTTATTTATGATATTTAGATTTCATCATGTCATATCTGGATTTTAAGTACTAGTGATTCAGGTCGGAGAAGGAGTTTGTATGTAAGATTCTAGGAGAAGCGATAAAAGCGGGTGCTACTTCGGTGTGCATCGCGGACACGGTAGGGATCACCATGCCACATGAATTCGGAGAACTCGTGACCTTTGTCAAAGCAAACACTCCTGGAATTGATGATGTTGTCTTCAGCGTTCATTGTCACAACGACCTTGGTCTTGCTACCGCAAACACAATCGCTGTACTCAACTAACTCTCCCTTTTTTCTGTGTTAGATTTATACACAACCACCTTATACAAATATATATTCTCAAGACTTTTTTTAATTTTATTATATATATTCTCAAGATCATGACAATGAGTTTACATTATATATAGGCTGTATGTGCCGGAGTGAGACAATTCGAAGTAACAATCAACGGAATTGGTGAAAGAAGTGGGAATGCGCCGCTTGAAGAGGTAAGAGTAAAGAAATTTACTACTGTAGTGTTATCTATATATTTAGAAGACTATAAAAAACGATAGCCATCGCACAACCAAAGAAAATTATGTGACACCTAAATTACGTATGTAAATAGTGGACTCGCGCGTACATGCTTCATGTGCTTTATGGAAAAACTGGTTATGTGACTGTATGTAGGTCGTGATGGCTTTGAAATGTCGAGGAGCATATCTTATGGATGGTGCTTACACAAGAATAGACACACGCCAAATTATGGCTACTAGCAAGATGGTAACTTTATATACTCATTGAAATTTAGATATGTATTTAATAAAATAATAATGCTAATTTTCTTTTGCCGTTAATTATAGTAATGGACTAATATATGTAAGCTCATGAACAGGTTCAAGAGCATACCGGCTTGTATGTTCAACCACATAAGCCAATAGTTGGAGACAACTGTTTTGTTCATGAAAGCGGCATTCACCAGGTTCCTTGTTTTTTTCTATATTTTATATGTATAACCAAAAGAAAAATTAAATATGAGATTGATTTGCTCTATATATATATGCTGATTGTTCAAACATTTTGCAGGATGGAATATTAAAACATCGAAGTACATATGAGATCTTATCACCAGAAGATGTCGGAATCGTAAAATCGCAAAATTCGGGCATTGTTCTTGGAAAGCTTAGGTAAATGTTCTATTAACTGATGTTTCTCACGTACCTTTGTTTAATTAGTTCATTTTAACAACAATGAAAATATGCAGTGGACGTCATGCTATAAAAGACAGGCTTAAAGAGGTACCACACATACACTATTTGTGATTTCGTAGTATTTTAGTCTTTACTTATATAATAATCACACAATGAGACCATTGCATGATATGACATTTTTAGAAAGAAATATTTGATTAATCATATTATATGTTTTTTATATTCTCAGTTGGGATATGAAATCGATGATGAGAAATTCAACGAAATCTTCTCACGATTCAGAGATTTAACCAAGCAGAAAAAGGTTTTCATATTATATTTTTTATCTTATTATCTCATGTAGATATGCGTTAATTAAATTCGAAATATTTAATTATATATATATATATATGATATAATTTGAATGGATATAAAAATATATATATTTCAAAAAAAAACCTCACATGTATTTGATTTCAATTTGTTAAATTTTACAGAGAATTACCGACGCTGATCTGAAGGCATTAGTGGTGAACGGTGATGAAATCACATCAGAGAAATCAAAGAGTAAAGGAATTAACAACAACAACCTTATTATGTCAAGTCCTCATATTTCCTCTGTTGTATAAGTTTGTAAAGAGGCATGTGTATTTGAAATACGATGATATCAAGTTCCATTTGATATGCATGTCTTGTTGTTGTAATGAATAAAAAGTTTAAAATATCAAACGCTGATAGAATGCTTTCTAAAGATGTTTAAAATTTTGGGAGTCCATTGTTATTGGTTTATGGATTCTTAGACTTAATAACATATATTGTTATTGGAATGTGACTACATATATTCCAAGTTCTTATAACTACACTTATTAAATATACAAAACTTTCTACAAATTTAATAAATTTGTATCCTCTTTTAAAATCAACAAATTCAATATTGGAAAAACCCTACTCGCCCTAATAACCAACCCACCCTCTTATAGTTTTAAAAAAAAACATTTACTACATCTTTTGAGAAAACACAAGTCATTTATAATCTCACATCTCCTGGCTCCTGCTACATCACAGCCAGCTACCACGTTTCGCTCTTAGCAGACGAAATCTGAACTTAATTTCTTTTAGGTTAAATAACTTATTTCCTTTGCTAGATGGATTTTTACATTTTCTTTTCCAAATATTTAATATTTCCAAAATATTTAATTTTTAATCTTAATGAAATAATATATAATGGTGAGCATATGGTGGATAATCTGGCCATTGGGAACGAACTAAACTAAAGCTAGACCCTTGAAAACACGTGGTGAAAGAATCGTCTCTTCGACCATTCTGTAAATGCTGCCTCCATACCACAAGATCATATATACGAGAAAATGATGATTTTTTTCGAGAACCTTCTTACACTTAAGTAAAAAATATCAACATGGCTAAATTTGAAGTTAGTTTATGAAGAATTGGTTAAATTTTTGGTATGATCAAGAGAGATCCAAAATCTACTAAATTGTTTGTAGGTTTTAGATTATAGTCCCTGAAGTAAAGAGAACCAGAGAGCCGTACAGTGACAAAAAAGATAGCTCCCAGATTTTGATAAAGCTAAGGTAAAATCCGCAGCAACAAGTATGGACGTAACACTAACTAATAAAGTTGTTCGTTCCTTTTTTTATATATAAAAATCAGATATGTAACCTAAATCTTAAACATTAATTACGAAATAGCCCATGTATGTTATGGGTTTACTCTAGAGCTTCTTCGCAGAAAATGGCATATGTAATATCACCTACCTGGATGTACATATATACCACGTGATTTATGTGTCCTCTTCAACTACTTACTAGATTTCAATAATTTACTCTTGAAAATATTAAACATGAATTGTGTCGTCATATTTAAGAGTCCTTTTTCTTTCCGGGGTCGTCAATAGATAATTTGTCTTTAGATATGTGGGAGAGCCGGTCCGGAGAGCAAGCAAGTGAAATCATCGCTTAGGATCTCACATTATTAAATACTTTTTTTTGGGAGATTTTTTTTTATATTAACAAAAAGGCCTAAAATTTTAGTTATGCGTAGGGTATCAAAGAAAATTTTGAAACTTTGGACCAGCCAACATGGTATATTCTAAATGGAATTGTATACGATGTTCTTTCAACTATTGGTTTCTTTCAAATGAAAAGTTTGTATGTTAGGAAAAAATTTTGATTCCACTACCAGCCAAATAATATTAATGAGTGGTACCAGCAAGTAGCAGTACTTGTCATTTATGCTTTTCTTCTTTCTCTCTTTGTGTTATTATCATTGATTGTTTTTTTGTCGTCTCTCTTGGATCGGAGAATTTAATTTGGCAAGAGGTTGTCGTTTGATAGTTTATATTGTACTCTCAATCTATCTACATAAAGATTTTGTAAGATTCAATAGTATGGTCACAATCACAAACCTGAAGTTCTTATCAATCGGCACCTTAAGGAAAGGAAATCGAAAAGGAAGAATATATAAAAGAAAAACAGTAAAGACTCTTGAAATTAACTAAGCCCTTATTGTATACAAATTAACCGTTAAACCTCCTTACAATCCTAACAGTTACCAGAAACTTCTAACGGAAGCGATTAATCTGAGAGTGAATAACGAAGTGAAGTTTGTCTTCTTCGCTAACTGGTTAATATGCATCGAAATCGCGAAGAAAGAAATTGTGTTCGATGAAGTCCACGGCAAGTAACAGAAAGGATGAAATTAGGGTTTCTGGGCCTAAAATAACATTTCTACATAGCCCACAAAAAGAATTTTATACAGCCCATTACATAATAACTTACAAAATTCAGCCGACAAAAAAAGTTAATTTTACATAGTATAACCAAATAAACCAATTTTTGAACCGAAAACCGTATAAACCACAAATTCGGAACTCGGAATGAAATGAACTTCTGTTCGCCCCATATCGTAAATCTGAATTCCGTCTAATTAGAATTATAGGAAGCAAAAATTGACTCATCTTCGTATGATATTTATTTATCCAATTTTCTATACGAATAGAGACATTGATGAATGAAGCAAATCAGCAATGGAAGTCAAAGTCAAAGGGCTTCACTAAACACCGTCCATACACGTTATTATTAGTTTTAGTGGAAACCACGTCAGAACGTAGTGGCTGAAGCCGATGTGGTAATCACGTAATATATGGCCAAAGTCAGGGGTGAAACATTTGCCACGTCCAAAGACAACAACTATACTACTTTTACAGTTTCGTTACACGTGCGGCACATTTTCATTCCTAGATAAAAGTTTTTTCCCTTTCAATGGTTTTTTTTTTTTTTTTATATATCCGATCGGCTGATCCGGTCAGCTTCCGGGGGAACGCACCGAAATGCTATCATGTGGACTCGTCGCCAACACCTAGGTGTTGGACTACCACACTGCCTAACCCCGAGTTTGGAATGCATTCCGACTAATGCCTGGGGTATCTAGTTAGTCTAATCCCGGATACCATGTGAATTTCTTGGGCCAAAGCCCAAGCCCAGACTTTCCACACAAATATGATTTTTGTTTTTAGGGTGGATCGAACCTGATTTTTTTTTACCAACGAACGAACGTTTCAATCGTTTTAAAATAATTTTGTGTGTGTTTAAAGTAAATATGGCTTAGAAAATGTCAATGCAGTTGTTTTTGTCGAAAGTTTTAATAAAATAAAAAGCAACTTTTAAAAGTTACATGTTTTTACAGAGAGACAATAATATAACTCATTAGTTTATTTTAATATAATTAGTGTGTAAAATGTCATACCTATACTTATATTGAAATGAATAACGTTGTGAAATTTGATTCCCAAAAGTAATCAGTTGTGAAAATGATATGATGTTAATATATATATATATATATATATATGTTAAACATTTTTTGGTTTTAAAAATATAAGTTAAATTGCTGAGTCGTTTTTCTCTTTAATTAACCCTTTTTGGTTATCTAAATGCATCTTTTGCAATAACATATCTTCTAATATTTAACTTTGTTGAAGTCATACTATATATCAAATGTGCCATTGTCGTTAGTTGAAAACAAAACCAAAAAATAATCACAAATATTTTCTTAACCTCCTCGTATACACACATAGCATGTATTTAATATCTATCACACTTAAGTTGTTGGTTTTCTCCACAACCCCACTTTTACTTCTCTTCCCTCTCTCCCTCCCAAATAACCGCCAATAAACAATGCTCCGACTAAGCAACGCCGCCGTGATAACAACCAATGCAATCCTCGCATTGATCGGCCTCGCCGCTCTATCTTTCTCCGTCTACGTCTATGTTCAAGGCCCTTCACAGTGTCAACGCTTCGTTCAAAACCCTCTCATCGTAACCGCTACTCTCCTCTTCTTCATCTCTTCCTTAGGCCTTATCGCTGCTCTCTACGGAAGCCACATCATCATCACTCTCTACCTCTTCTTCCTTTTCCTCTCCATCCTTCTCCTTCTTGTTCTCTCCGTCTTTATCTTCCTCGTCACGAATCCCACCGCCGGAAAAGCGTTCTCCGGCAAAGGAATAGGCAATGTTAAGACCGGAGATCTCCAGAACTGGATCGGGAACCATTTCCTTCGTGGGAAGAACTGGGAAGGGATCAGCAAATGTTTGTCTGATTCTAGGGTTTGTAAAAGGTTTGGTCCACGTGACGTTGACTTTGACTCCAAACATCTCTCTAATGTACAGGTATGTGTTTATACATTTCTATATTTATACATCAATTGGATTCAAATTTTGACATCAAAAAACTAATCCGCTTTGAAACTAGACAACAATCTATTAGCGGTTTTAACAATGTATAGTATTAAAAGAGGTTTTTGTTTTTATGTTTCTTTTTATTTAGTTTGGTTGTTGTCGACCTCCCGTAGAATGTGGGTTCGAATCAAAGAATGCCACGTGGTGGACAGTTCCAGCGACAGCGACCACGGTAATCACAGGGGATTGTAAGACATGGAGTAACACGCAGAGCCAGTTATGTTACGGGTGCGAGTCGTGTAAGATTGGAGTGTTAAAAGGGATAAGAAAAAGATGGAGGATACTTCTTGTTGTCAATCTCCTTCTTATCCTTCTCGTCGTGTTTCTCTACTCATGTGGCTGTTGTGTGAGAAAGAACAATCGTGTTCCATGGAAGCGCCGGTTCTTTTAAAAACTCCTTCCATTTCGTTTCCAAATTAATTAATTAATTCTTCATAATTGTTTATGTTTTTGAAATATTTAGTTGATGTTTGATGTTTCTTGTAGTGAAGTTGTCCTCAGGTCATGAAAATTGGTTTGCAAATGCATGGGTTTGGTTATATTAATGTGTGAATGCATTGATGGAAAATAACCTTCAAAAAATATATATGACACTTGCAACATAGACAGAGAGTCAGAGACTATACGAAAATATTTTAAGAACAATTAATGTTTTATTGTTCGGCACATATGTGGATAAGAAAAATTAGAAAAGAGAGCTACATTAATGTTTTAACACGCAAAGCTGGTTTTGAAGGAGGGAAGAAACACTCAGAGCAAATACATTGTTTGAACATACATTGTGCGAGTATACAGTCCGGACAAATCTTGTGGCAAGTGTTGTCGTCGGTGCAAGGCCCTCCTTGTTGTGTTTTGATATCTCTCACTTCTTGACTAACTCTCGTGCTTCTTTCCGATGCTTTAGCTACCAACAAACCTAGGACATTTTTTCATCTAACATATATCAATATTGTGTACGGGTATACGATAAATCGACTAGAAGTCTATAACAACATTGTAATACTAGAATCATGATGTTTTAAAAGTTATAAATACACACACATACACATGAAAATGTGATGTATTTATAAGTTGACAAATGGACTCACATGAAAGAGATAACAGAAGTGCAAGAAGAACTACTTTGCTCAACACCATTTTCTCCATTATGATAATTTTGATTCCTTTCTCTTATATTTTGTTAGTGTGATGATATATATACACATCAATATTGCAACGGCAAGTTTAAAGCAAGAGATTTGGAAGATTTCTCATACCCTATTTAGATGATCGAATTTACAAAATTTTGGTAGGAAATTCTTGGTTAGATCAGCTTGAAAAACAAATTCATGTATTCGAATCAGAAATAGATATTTATTTACATATATATAATCTTGAAATCCATGTATATGAATTTGAGAATTATTCTTTAGAATTGAACAATCAATTTATTACCACGTTACAACATTTTTTGGTAGACACCGGAAACGAGTATCGATCCATGATACCGCGAGTGACATCATTTGGCTTTTTTCACCCGGAATTAGTTCCTTTCTATTGCAATAATGTGGCAGCTATTTACCTTAACTAGCACAAATTCGGTTTTTCACGAACACGCCAAACACATTGAAGTCATTTATACATTTACCATTCATTCACAAAAAAAAAAAATTGCAAACTCACCACAACTCTTAACACATCACAACTATCAGACAGGCATGACCAAGAATTCTTATATTGTTAGTTTGATATATAAAGATAGTCAAAGTTTTAGTGTGATAAATATGATGACTAATATGACCACAAAAGAATTCTTTTATTGTTAGTCCGATATATAAAGATAGTCAAAGTTTCAAAGGAATACTGAATTCTTTCTCATTTGAAGGGTTAGATACTTAACCCGATTGATTTTGTACAAAAGAAAACTGTGAAACAATCAAACACTTAACAACTTTCACTAATTCTTCCGAAAGGTTCTGTAAATGTTTGGGCAAAAGAACAAAAAGTGTTTGGATAAAACCGCAACTTACTTGAGGAAAGTACAAGAAAGAAACAAAAACACATAAGCAACCAATGATGTTAGGAGCTCGAGTGTCCATGTTGGCTGAATGAGAAACGTCGGAATCATGGGAATGATTATCGAACCGCAGAACCACCCGGCAGCTAAAGCTCCAATTCTGCAATCATAAAAGCCAAACAGATCATGAAAAAAACAAATTACCTTTAAGTTTCGTTTCAGCAAATTCGATAGGACCAGTATTTTACCCGATTAGGAAAGCTCTCCCCAAGCTCTTTGTCTTCTCATTCAGGAAATATACGCACGCAGCCAACGATACCGCCACCTACAAGTACAACAAAAGTATCAGAAACCATATGTGTGAACACGATAGAAGAGAAACTCGTCGACTTTCTCTATGGGTCAAATATTTAAATCTAATTCTAAGATGTCTAGTATAGATTAGCTGATTGTATATAAGGGCCATTGTATAAGTAACAAACCTGAAACGCAGGACCGCCTTCTGCTGAGTTCATGATACTCCAACCACCCATGAAGGCAAAGAGGAACAGTCTTCTGAATATAGTGTCCATCGGAGGCATTTCAACAAAATCGAGAAGAGCTTTGAGCCACGGAGGAGACTCCTCAACTTTCTTCTTCAACCTTGTTTTAAGATTGATTTTAGACTTCTTCCTTCTGATAAAACTAGACATAAGAAGCTTCTCAAAGGCGCCTTCTATAGATTCTTCGCTTCTCTCATGTCCAGCATACTGCTGTAAGAGAAAGTTACGAGAGGCCCAGATTTCTTCCTCGGAAGCATATGGACTAACTCCTAGACGTTTGTACGGGTCCCAAACTCTGGTCCGAGGGAACGTGGGGACGTTGCCTATACAAAGTCATTCGGTTACCAGAGAAAACATAACATGTCATATCACTTCTCATTCAATTAGTAGTAACGAAAAGCTCAAATCCGATAAAGATAAGTGGAAACACTAAGCCAGCTTTCTACTATCTATCTCCTTATGATTCTTCTCCGAGAAGTCATTGTTCTTAAAGAATCCTCCTCACATACTCAATTAATTCATTCAAATTGTTCCACACAAGTTGAAATTTTGGATAAGAAACGACCAAATCCTAATCGAAACTAACGAAATTGAGTGTAGAAGGAGACAATACCTCCATATGAAGAATCAACGGAGCACTTAACGCTTTTGAAGCTTCTTGAAACATTCCGAAATGGTAACAGTGATGTCTTATTGGAATTTCGTACCAAAGAACTGAAAATTCAGAAAACAACAACAACGCGATTACAACAAAAGCTCTAAAGAATTCAATTTCTAGAACATACAACAAACAAACCCTAAAATTTCCAAATCCGAATTTTCCGATTTTAACTAGAACAAAGACGCAAAGAAAAACCCCCGAAATCAATTCCACGAGCAAATTTAGATTCCCTAAGAAAGAAGATGGAGGGAGAGAGAGAACATTACAGCTTCGATGGAGCGTTAAACGAAGAAGATACAGTAGAACCGGAGAGAAGAAGAGACGAGGACATGGTTCCTCCGTCGGACTAATCCGACGCCGTTCTTCGTTCTATTTAGCTTCTTAGGCTTCTGTGTAAAAGGAAAAGATAAGCGAGTCGTACTATCTTGCACTGCCTGGCGTACATTAGAGAATTTACTTACCCCTCATCTTTCATATTTTCACGTTTATGTCCATGTATCTAGTAAAATATTCGAATATCACCCCTAATTCCCAAATAAGAATAGTACACCTCTTAATTCGTCACCAACCCCAATCATCAATTTTTTTTTTAATTGCTCAAAATCTTGTTACCTTTTTCATTTATAAAAAAAAAAAAAAAATTATCATGTTAGGATTACTGTTTTCATGTTGCGTTATGGATAGCAAGTCCTATTTAATCTTCTACTATTCACTTTCTATAAATTTGAATGATCAGGTTTTTGTTATCTTCTAATTTTGTTTCGAAATAAAATCAGAACCAAAGTTGAGATTCACGTGGAGAGGGTAAGGAAGGATCTCACTACATGTATGTACACTAGATCCACTCTTTATTTATGTGAATTGAGAATCATTTATTGATACAGACATGGATGTGGATTTTACAACAAAGACCAAATGTTGTTTTTTTTTGTGAATGGCAAAAACCAACATTTGGTATTGGAGAGCAATTGCCTCATAGCTTCGAGTTTACACTAGTCTGAGTAAGCTGTTGCCTTAGAACTCTTCTCATAACCTTATTTGTGGCCGTCCTTGGTAAAGAAGGCAGAGTCACAACAGATGATACCTGCCAGATGAAAAACACATACATAAACATTCACATTAGCCACACAACAACTTGACCTCTCTTGTGTTTTGTTTTTGTTATAAACCTTGAACAATGGATTCAGTTTCTTTTGTATCTCAGAGTTGAAGGACTTCTTCAAGAGGTTCAAATCGTGTTTCGATATTTCTGGGCTCTTGAACACAACAGCGATTACTAGCTGCTCAGGACCGCCACTAGGAGGTGGAACACCGATGGCTGCTGTCTCCAGAACACTGTCATCAACGGAATTACAGACTCGTTCGATCTCAATAGAACCGACCTGCACAAGAACAATCAACAGAATATGATTATGATGATAATGCAGATTGTTAGGCCTGTGCATTTCAATACTATATAAGAATCTCTACAGTAAAGCTACCTTTATGCCACCAAGATTCATTGTGTCATCAGCACGTCCGTGAGCACGATAGTATCCTTTTGAATTCCGTTCAAATAAATCCCCATGTCTTCGTAAAATCTATCGAAAAGCAGGCAAGCCACAGGCTTAAAACCAATGAAAACCTTAAACCTATATATATATATATATGGCAAGGGTTGGTTTACCTGTCCTTGGAAGGTGGGCATTCCTTGGAAGTAAACTTTGAAGTGATTTCCGTTCAGGAGGGTGCTTGAAGCTCCAAACATGTGAGGACAAAGAGCCAATTCGCCTACTCCTGCTGCGTATGGAGGCTAAAACAAGGAAGGCAAAAAAAAAATCACACGTCCTTCACACTGAAAGATCTTTCAGAAGAAACACTGCATCATCTATGAAACCATAAAGTTTCTTACAATAGGATTGCCATCTTCACCGAGAATGAAAAGCTTGCAACCCATGACAGCTGTGCTAAAAGCAGCCAGCGACTGAGGCTGAAGCAAAGAACCTGAGATAAAACTGCCTCCAATCTCAGTCCCGCCACAATACTCGATTACGGGTTTGTAATGTGCTCTGCCCATCAGCCATAGATACTCGTCTATGTTTGAAGCTTCACCAGTGGAACCAAAACAACTATCGAAAAAGTATCAAATATAAAACATCAATGTTACTGCATAGACAAATCTTCTTGACTTTACCAACTACATAAGATGTTTATTGAACATTTTAAAGAACTAGCTACAATACTTAAACCAAAATA